AGCTTTGCGCAAGAATGTAAATAGCAGCTTAATTCATAAGAGCTAAAAACCGGAAACAGCTCGTGAGTCCAGCAACAGGAGAAAGAATGAACAATTGGTCTATTCATGAAACTGAATACGACGCAGCAATGAGGACCTACCAGTACACAATGGGTCTCAGAAATGTAATGCTGAGGGGAAGAAGCCAGGCACAAGACTACCTCTTATACGCTTCCGTTTATATGAAATTATAGGGCAGACAAAATTAACTAATGGGGATACAAATAAAAATAGTGTTGCCTGCGTGGGAGGAGATTGACTGAGAAGGGACACTGGGGAACGTCCCTAGTGATTAAATTATTTTGTATCTTGATGAGGGAGAAGGAATTTTGGGGAGTACACATGTATCATCATTTACCAATTATACACTTAAGATCTACTGTATGCAAATTAGACCTCAGTTTCTCAATTTTAAAAAGTTTACTACTCAGCCATAAAAAAGAAGGAAATCTTACCCTTTGCAACTTCATGGATGGACCGGAGAGTATCATGTTAAGTGAAACAAGCCAGTCAGAGAAAGACAAGTACCATGTGATTTCACCGATATGTGGAAACTAATGAACAAACAAAATGGAAACAGACTCATTGATACTGAGAACAGACTGGCAGCTGTCAGAGGGGAGTGGGGTTGCAGGGTTGAGTGAAAAAAGGTGAAGGGATTAAGCAGGAAAAAGAAAAGGTCTCATAGACACAAACAACAGTATGGTGATTACCAAAGGGAAAGGGAGTGGGGGGAAAGGGGGGGAATAAATGGTGATGGAAGGAGACTTGACTTGGGATGGTGAACACTCAGTACAATATACAGATGATGTATTATAGACGTATACACCTGAAACCTATATAATTGTATTAACCAATGTCACCCCCAATAAATTTAATAAAAAGTAAAACTAAATAAATAAAAGTTTAAAGAACAAAAGAATGGCATCTCTGGAGATGGACTGTGAATTGGAAGCTTGACTCTGCCTCTTTATCAGCAGTTAAACGAGGGTGGTGATGATTACGGACCCACCTCATGGGGCTTTCCAGAAGGCTGGGCTACCCTGGGAGTCCTGAGGAGGGCGCCTGGCTAGGAGTCAGTCTTAGTTACGTGGAACTTCCAGCAAAGGACAGGCGTGCCCACAGGGATTGAGGAGTGCTTGCTGAACCGAATCAATGCCATCTCGAAAATTCTGTGGAAGCGCTCAGCCGCCGCAGCCCTTCAGGTGAACTCCATTCCGAATAGGAGAGGACTCCACATTTACAACCGAGCAATCTGGGTACCAGGGAGAAGCACCCAAAACAGGCATTGTATGACTTCTCCTACTGCAGGCGTCTTCCTCCAAGACAAACAGTGCCGGCCTTACGGAGCCTGCCTGCATAAATATTTGCTTATTCTTGAGGACGAGGCCATGGAAATTTACCTGTACTTCCAACCAAAAATCTAACCTAGCTTCCCAGTTAATTTAAAGGTGTACTTGCAGGACACTAGTGTATGTTTTATGGATACATTAAAGGACAGTTTTATTAAGTTGGTAGTTTTACTCATGTAGAAGAGAGAGGGAGTAGTGAAAAAGCGTCTCCCTCAATTTTCATTAAATAAATACACAACATCAGTAAAGTAAAACATATGGGAGGAAAGTAAACCTGGTGTTATTACATACCATTCCTCGAATTACAAAGGAGTGAGGACGAGCATGGGTTCTGGTGCCAAACAGCCTGTGCTCACATCCTGGCTCCATCCCTGCGTGGGGAGGGAATCTGGGCACGCGGCTTACCTTGTACCTTGTCTCCTCATCTATAACATGGGAATGAAATCGTACTTACAACAGGGTTAACATGAGACTGAGAAGGTGTACCTGTAAAGTATAAGAACTAGGCGTGGCCCTGAGTAAGCACGCCATCAATATTAGCCATTACTATTGTGACTACCATTCGAACCTCGGTCTGCTAGCAATAATAAACACAGGACAATCAAAATGAAATAAAAGCAGAATGCATCCCACTATAATAGTACACGAGTAAATTCTCCAGGGCACCAGGACAGATAGAATTGTTACTGTTAAACACTGATTTTAATAATGAAATCTGAAGACTCAAATAGAATTAAAATAACAAACAAGCCAACGTAGAGAAGTATTTCTTTATAAGACACTCCCATCTCGGTCCCGGCTGCTGTGGTTTGTTCTTGATCTAAAATCATAACCTCAGAGGCTGTCCACCTCATCGTCCAAAAAACTGTCACATAAAATGTCTCATTATGGCCCTGGCCGGTTTGGCTCAGGGGTTAGAGCATCGGCCTGCGGTCCAGAGAGACCCGGGTTGGGTTCCCGCTATGGGCATGAATCTCCGTTGTAGTTTGTCCCTGGCCCTGGTTGGGTCATGAGTTGGGTCATGAGGGTGGCAGCATGTGTCCCTTTCGCGTCGATGTTTCTCTCTCTCTCTCTTCCTCTCTCTCCCTCCCACTCTATCTGAAAAAAATATGGAAAAGTGTCCTCGGGTGAGGATAAAAAAATAAATTAAATAAATAATAAAATGTCTCGTTGTGTTCTCCGTGCAGTCCTATGAGCCTTGGGTCAGCCTCCCATCTCCATTTTCCAGATGAGAAAACCGAGTTTTCCGTGTGTGAGTCACACACGTGAAGCGTCCTCTTTGGGAGGGTAGCACGTCTCCCCCGTGGCTGCCTGGCTGGCACAGCTTTGCCAGGGCCAGCTGCCACCCTGGCTCGACGTGCTTCAAAATAGCCTTTGTTGTTCATTATCATAACATTATCATTATTTTTAAAGTAATGCATGATCTTCACAGAATGCTTTAAAAATATAAAAAAGTAAAAAGATATCCCACCACCCAAAGAGGACAGTTAACCAGCTAGTGTATCGTTTCAGTCTTTTTCTTGGCACATTCCAAAATAGTTATGGTTGTGCTGTATATACAATTACATGCCCTGCTTTTGAAATGTAAGGTAATACCAAGAGTATTTTCATGTTACCGCCTTTAGAGAGCCTGCTTTTAAAGAATCTGAACCCTAAAACATAGATAAAGCTGTTTATCTCCATGGACAATAAAATTTCATAACGCTTTGACATTTGATCCCTAAGTTCTCAAGCAGATTTAACTCACAAGTGAAAAATATTGACATCGTAGAAATTGCTTCTTCATAGTAATATCAGTAACTAATCATTAGAGAGCTATTAATGGTAATTTATTAATTTGATTTTATTTTCTACTGTATATCTCCACTGGCTAATTCTATTAGAACCAAGAATTGCTTCCAAAGAAGCATAGAAAAACTGTAGACAAATAGAATCTCAATATTTAAATTCAGACAATTTCTAGCTATTAGACTATCTCATAAGGAGTCCAAATTAGTGGCTAAAGTAAATAAATACTACAGTGTAGGTTTACGTGGTTCCTCACAGTGTACATAATGACTCCACAACTATTGTTAAATTAAATTAATGTCTTTTTCTCTAACCCATCCTGTGATATTTATTTTTACATATATATATATTTTTTAAAATTTTTCTCTTTATTGATTTTAGAGAGAGAATAAGGGAGAGGGAGAGAGAGATAGAAACATCAATGAGAGAGAACATCGATTGGCCGCCTCCTGCATGCTTCCCACTGGGGATCGGGCCCATAACCTGGGCATGAGCCCTGACCAGGAATCGAACCAGCGACCTCTTCGTGAATGGGCTGATGCTCAACCACTGAGCCAAACCGGCCAGGTACTTCTTTTATTTTCTAATAAAAATGTTTGAAGGACTAGGCAAGCAGTGGACACATGTGAAATAGCGATATTAAAAAGCTTATGTGATTTTTTCTCTTTGTATCTTGTTATTATTCATGCTTTTAGTTTCATGAGCACCAAAAATATTGTTTCAACAAAAGCAATGCTAAAACCATTTAAGTGCTGTCACAGCATTTTCTTTGATGATAAAAAAAATATCAAATATATAGTTTCTTTATACTTGACTTCGGCAAACATTTGATATGGTCAGGAGGGATCCCTGGCACAAATTTAGCATCTAGTTGCTTCTAATGCCAAAAGGCTTCTAAGTCATTTCACTGGCCAGACACTCACTAGTTCGTTCATCCTTCTTAGAAGTACAACCTCTTCTGCAGCCCCGATGGACATAACTTATGAACTGACAGCACAGCCTTACCAGGTGAACAAAATTTGGGGAAATCAAACTGACTGATCAAAGTCTCAGGTTTGTGTCTCGTACATAAACGTGAAAGGCCTCGCTGCCCACAGATCTGCCTGAGCAGGGTCTCAGCTCACTTGTTTCAACCAAGCATTCACCATGTGCAGAGCACCTTGCAAAGCACTACGGGAAGACACGAAAGAGACTTTACTGGGGGGAAGTTACATTTTAAGAACCCAAGACAAATATCCACAGAACCTAAACAAAGTTAAGGTCGAAATACACAAAAACCAATCACAGCTAAAGTGAGACCGCATCCATCAGGACACTACCGGGGGCCAGTAAAAGAACTGGAGTCTTCAGCATTTCTCTTCAGATTAGGAAAATGGGGCCGCAGTCCTCCCCAGCTAATTAAACCACTGCCACCTCGTGCAGACAGCGATGCCCCCTCCCGCTCCTGGAGAGCCCGATAGGAGCTGCCAGGACACCAGAGCGGAGGGGGACTGTGGCAGAGGATAGAGCATTGGTGTGCTCAAAGGAACCAGGGTAGGTTGGTAGATTTTGTCACTCAGCCCCAGGCTCTCCAACAGCAGCATTAGTCCTTCAGTTTATGAGGCCAACGTTCCTCCCTCCTTCAACACACACACACACACACACACACACACACACAGAGGCAATGGGTAAATTGACCTAGGTCCACTGATAAAGTACTATTCCATTCAAAGCGCAAGTACAGAGTAAGCAACCAAATTCAATAAATATGAAAAGACGGGACATCTGAAGGTATGCTGAGCAAATTATCTGGACCTGAGACACACAGGCTTGTGAGCTTACCAAGAACAATTCTTCTTGGTGAAAGTCTCGGGCCTCTGGGTGAGGGTGTAAGTACGTGGGACCAGCTCTCCAGGAATTCTGGCGGCAGTGTGGTGAGTCTGTTGCTTGATAAGTCCAAGTAGGCGAGGTTCTTCAGGTAGCCGACAGCCTCTTTTGGCACACTGGTTATTCTGTTATTGTGCAGATCCAGGGTCCTGAGGTGGGGCATGTCCAGAAGAGCTGCCCAAGAGAAGGCAGCCAGAGAATTCCCATCCAGGCGCAGCTCGTGCAGCTGCCCCAGGTTGTAAAAGCTGCTGGTCTCGAGGCTGGCGATGGAATTGTAAGTCAACCAGAGGTACTGGAGCTCCACCAGGTAGTAGAAGGCCTCGGCGGGGATGCTGCGGATGACGGTCTTCTCTATGCGAAGCTTCGCAGTGTCCACGGGGAAGTTCACAGGGACTTCGTTCATGTCCAGGTCATTGCATAGCACCGACCTAGTGTCACAACAAGAGCAGTGGAAGGAAACCTGCTTTCCGAGACCCATGGGAAGAAACAATGCTCATTTGAAACATGTATCAATTTTTCATTCCTTACTGGTATTCACAAAGTATGTGTTCAGCCTGGCTGACCTATTCATGAATAATTTGTCATCATCATCTTCTTCTAGGTTTAACTATATGGAATGGCCATTTCTATAGGTTGAAAATGATCAAATACAAGCAATTTCATGCGGTTCAACCTAATGTTGACGGAGCTCTTAGTGTGTCAGTCCTGGGCGACACACATCACATCCATTACCCTATGGGACTGTCAAACAGCCCTAGGAGGTAGACACTGGGAACAAGTAAAGGCACCAGCTCTTGAGTCAGGCTGATCTTGGCTCAAATCTCAGCTCTGCCCCCACTTTTGTGGCAAGACAGTCCTCACCGATGGCTCAACTTCATTTTCCCATACAGCTCTGTAAGGGTGGTTCATTGAAACTGATGTACAATTTTATACCTTCCTGACATATCATAGGCACTCAATGGGTGCTTGCTATTTTTATCATCAATTTTATTTTTACAGCTAAAATAACTGAGGCCTACTAACTTGCCAAGGTCACACAGCTACTGGGTTACACAGCCACCTTCCAAACCCTCATCTGTTCGACTCCAACGTGTACCCTTAACCTCTTTATGAAATGGTCCATTTTTAAAGTATCCTCTGTTGAAGTTACAAATTGATGCCTCTTTAAAAATCTATTTTTATTGATTTTTAGAGAGCGAGAGAGGACGAAAAGGAGAGAGGAAGGGAGAAGGAGAGAGAGAGAGAAACATCGATGTAAGAGTGGAACATCAATCAGTTGCTTCCTGCGCACCCCACACTGGGGACCCAGCCCACAACCCAGGCATGTGCCCTGGCCAGGAATCAAACTAGCAGTCTTTTGGTGTATGGGACGACACCCAGCCAACTGAGCCACACCGGCCAGGGCACAAATTGATCCCTTTGAAGGAAGGAAGGAAGGAAGGAAGGAAGGAAGGAAGGAAGGAAGGAAGGAAGGAAGGAAGGGAGGGAGGGAGGGAGGGAGGGAGGGAGGGAGGGATTGTTCACACTGGATGCTTAAAGCTGAGCTCTGTTTTAACAATGCGACTTGTGTATTGCTTCCAGCCCAAGGAATAAACCAGAAACTGCAAGTTTATTCCACTTATCACTCACTAACTTGAGTAACCTTGAGCGAGTCTCACTGTGATCTTGCTTAGAGGCACATGTGAAACAGGCATAGAAAAACAAGCCTGGCCCACGTGTGAGTGAAAAGTATGGAGAATCAGAGACTTTGGATGCATTTAACTTGGAAAAAGATCTATTTATCTCCCATTGTATACTTATTCCCAGTGGATTGCTGAAAATGAACAATGAAATGTGTTTGCAAAGCATGATTATATTGTACATGTTGTAAACAATAACAGCAAAACAGCCATTCGGTGAAACACATCACATTAAATCGGTGACCTTTAAAAGCAGCCTGTAGCGTAGAGAGGGGTAAAAGCAGCATAAAGCTGCAGTGTCCTGCGAGCATCTGCTGTCTGTAACTTCAGGAGAAGACCATACAGAAGCATCGGAACTCTCCAATACCTCCTACTCTGCATCTCTACTCTCCATCACAAATTTCAGTGCTGCTGCAGACCAGAATAACCCAGTTCCCACTCATCAAGTCAGCATCCCAGCGTAATGGGCAAAGGCCTGGACTAGAAGCTGAAAGACCTGGAGTCTCTGCCAACCAGTCACTCTCGCCTCAGGGCTGTGACCTCGCACAAGTGAGTCTTTTAGCCTCTGTATGGTTTCATTTTTTAAATAGCAACAGTAAAATTAGATTATTTCTACAGTTCTTGCCAAGAGTAATACACTCTGATTTTCATAAAATCCATCCATAGTGGGACACCAGGGAGAAGGAAACATTTCTGTGATTGTTTCTCGAGTACCCTGGCCTGAGTCACTGACTGTGACATAGCTTTAGCCAAGCAGGTCTTTAATTTATTAATTCTTCTCATTGTCTTAAACCACCTGGTGAATCTCTCAAACAGATACCAAGAGTTGGTTAAAGTTTATAGACTAACAAGACAAACTACTCAGTATTATATTTCTAACTTTTATTAGTTTGTTTAAAGTTGTAGAACATGAATTGAGCGACTCTTTGAACAAATTACTTAAGAGGCTCACTGTTAAAATAACCTCTAAAATCACAAAACCATCAACTGAGTCACAAATAAATCTGATTTTGTCATTAAATATCCTCTAGAAAAAAAAAATCATGGTCTACCATGTTTAGCAAACAAGAGTTCCTTTTTGCAATGAATTTCTATTTCAAAGGACTCCTGTATGAGGATGCAATTATTCTCACCTCACAGGTCGATGTTAGAGCGACCCAGAGGTTACATAACTTCTGCACGGCCCTGCAGTGTCTCAGGCGTGATGCATATCTTTCCACCCTCTTTCCTTTGTAAATTCCAATATCTTAAAGTGAAAAATTCAAATTATGAACGTCTGTAATTTCACTCTTGTGATCTTCCTTTCTACTTTTTAAGCTCTGTCCAGTTGGCATGAATAACCCTTCAGATGAAACGGAAAACCCAGGACGCAAATGATCTGGGCATGTCTGGCATCCTGATGGGCGCTGCTTTCCATCATCAGGCTGAGCTGGCCGCGCATTTCACTCGACCCCCTGAAGCGAACATTTCTGAATACAAGTGCAGTGAATATTTCTGTGACACAGAATGTGCTTGAGAGTCTCAAATTATTTGACGGGCTTTTAAGAGCTAAACTGCTCAAGAAGAAAACAACGCAATTGGCAACCGGTAGTAACACAATTAAGTTACAGCTTATGCAAATTAAACCTTTTCTCCTCTGATTTCGGATCAACAGTTTGCTTTCAAAATAAGGCTGATGGTGGAGCCCTTTTCCTCAGAATCCTTAGAACCCTTAGTAGCGAGGAGAGGAGCGTACCTCGATCCTGTGCCATCATCTCTGCCGTGGTAATCGCAGGTGCACTGTGAAGGACACGAGCAGCTCACTCCTTCCAGAAAGCTAAGCATGATGCCCAGACAGGCTAGGAGACGCATTGCTCCCTTCAGAGGTTATCTGAACCAAAGGTAAAAACCAAACCCTAAGCATTCAGACCGGTGTGCCTGGAACGCAAACAGCCATTTACTAAGAGCAGATTACACAGGATTAGCTGAGATCCGTAGTTACTTAACCTTCAAGTGTATTTTGCAGGGGTTCAATCTTCCTAACCTTTGAATATGGTTTCAGCAAAGTAACACATTCTAAGGAAAGTGAAAATCAAACACATGTCAAGAAATTTTCAATAGTTGCCCATATCTAGATTTTCAAGGAAATGTCTATTAAATTCCTTTCTTGTGGATGTCACTGCTACACCTTGAAGCTACACATAATGTTGAAAAATGATTCAATATTGTAGCAGATACTAGAAATACGGCAGATTATTTACATTATAACATTATAAATTTTATTTTGTGCATTTGCTTTTTGCCAGCATGCATAGCAATCAGTTTTACAAAATTTAGCTTTAAAGATAGAAGCACATGATATAAAATTGATTTAGAATAGAGTTATCAATATTGCTACATATTGGCTATCTCCAAAAGCAAAGCAGACGAAGCCTGTGCTCAGATGTGCTTTTAGACCCAATGCTTCGATCCACCACGCAGTGGGGGCCTAAGGCTCCGGAGATGCCCTGTGGCTCCTGAAGGTCATCTCAGCACAGTGCGAGGCTCCTCCCAGCTCTTATTTCTACCAAAAGCTATTATCTCTGCTCAACAATATATTTTATTCCAAGCTAGTTTCCCAAGTTATGGGCATACCATTAGCTAAAGATTAACTGTCATGTCTTTTAGCAAAGTTAGGCTCCATCAAAAAATAAAAATTAAATCAAATAGTTAAGAAACTACCTGAACACACCCATAAGGTGGAGAATCCACAGGTACAATCAAGGGTTTAGGTACCAGCCCTGGCCAGTGTGGCTCAGTGGATAGAGCACCGGCCTTCCCACCAAAGGGTCTCAAGTCTGATTCCCAGTCAGGGGCACGTACCTGGGTTGCAGGTTTGATCTCAGCCCCAGAGGGCAACCAATCAACATGTCTCTCTCACATCGATATTTCTCTCTCTCTCTCTCTCTCTCTTCTCTCTCCCTCTCTCTTTTTCTCTCTCTCTCCCCCTCCCTCCCTTCCACTCTTTCTAAAAATGAATGGAAAAAAATATCCTCCTGTGAGGATTAACAACAACAACAAAAATTTTTAAATAAATCAATCAACCAATGGACACAGACAACAGTACAGTGAAGACTGTGGGGAAGAGGGAGGCTAGGAGGAGGGCTTCAAAGGGAGAAAAAGGAGGGACATTTGTAATTTAAAAAATTAATATTTAAGTATAAAAAACAATAATAAATGAATACATAGAATACTACATAATTTAAAAGTCCACTATTTAAATAATGGTGTATTATCATGCTATGCTTTATAGTTATTTACAGTTACAAATGAGTGCCTACTACGTGCCAGGCAAAATGTGTCTACGTGCTAAGGATACATCACAGAACAAACATGGCTAATCAACAAGCATAAGGTTTCAGAGATCTGCTGTGCAATATTGTATGTATAGTTACAATTGCTGTATTGTAGACTTAAAATTTTGTTAAGAGGTTAGATCTCATGTTATGTTCTTACCACAACAAAATAAATTTCAAACAAACAAAAAAGACGGGAAAAAAGAGAACATACAAAAACTCCACTCTGATTAAATTTAATTCAAGTGGCAAATATATAGAAATACATAAAACAGTAATTAAAAAGCAGACTATATAATAATATGCACAGAGATTATATTGCTATAAAAATATATACACAGTGACTAACATCCGCTTCAGAAACAATAAGATTTAATAGTCATCTGATCATTTTTGTTAAACAGTATGTAACAATTGCATTAAAAATTTTAAATAGTGAAATGCTAACATGTTTTGCATTCTAACGGGAAGCATCCAACAACTCATTCAGTAATTATTTATTAAAGATTATTAACCATTATTATTATTATTTTATTCTAACATGAACATAGCAGCTACTTCTGCTCTAGTGGAGGGCCCAGGCAAGATAGCAGCCCACAGTGTAATGCACGCCGTGGTTAGGGACAAAGACAAGTGCCTTGATCTCATGTGCCTGGATTCAAGAAAGGAAATGAACAATAAGTTGACATATTGTTGTAGACCAACGAGACAGACCAGACTCCGACTCCGAACTGGGTTCAAATTAAGAGAGCTTTATTAGCCACGCGGGGACTGTCCCATCCTACTCAGAGGAGAGAGCAGCCCCGAGCTCAGGGGGTGAGTTGCTTATATAGTTGTCTTAGCCCCTGTTAAGGAATTTGGATTAAGGGTATGCGAGCGAGCAAGCACGCACAGAAGCAGATATTTGCAGTTAGCTGTTATGCCTGAGGGAACAATCAGTTTCTGTGTACACAAAGCAATGCTTATCTATACAATGCAGTGGTTATCTATATAATGCAATGATTATCTATTAGCAGATAGTTCCTGCCATTCCCTTAAACACCTGGGGGCAAGGTCATGTGTTTGTCCTTTACAATATAAGGAAATAAACATTCCCTACCATAGCCAATGAACAAACTGAAGAACTATAAACTACACTTGAAAAATTCAGTCTATTGAGATAATCTATGTCTGCATTTGATCTAAATGGGCTTGTATTTTAAATAAAATTAAAACATAACAAAAAAAAAGTAAATAAAATGTTTTGATAACTTGTGCTTTCCTCTTATTTCAGATTCCTTCCGCAGTCAATGGGTTTTGAGGTACATCCATTGGTAAAAAACTCATCACGGGCATAGTTTGATGAGTCTGACATTGGAACATGGCAAACATTGCCCTCCGAAACCTGCAATAAAATGGGGGAAATTTGGCATTATCTTATAATGACTTGGAATTTTAAAACACTTTCAAATATGGCTAAGATGCCACCACTGCCGATAGACATTTCCATGTACGTGTTTGCCTCCAACTTTAACATCTCCTGCTGAGAACCTTTTAAATATAGAACGTATGGGGTGCAGGTGAAGACCAATTTTATGCCATTGATTAGAAACACTGAAGACATTTCGTGAAAATCAATAGTTATGTGTTTCAATGACGCTTCTTATGTCGATTGCAGTAATTTCTTTGTTTGAACGAAGGATGATGCCCTTCATGCGTCTGTTCTGAGCAAAGGCAGACGAAAGTAAGGGGAGTGGGAGAGGAACGACCTTTCCAAATAACTACCGATAGACTCTCAATTTAGAATGTGTTCCTCATTCTTCTCATGTGGTCTGTTTGGTCTTAAAAGTTTTTGTTCCTTTACACACCTGTAACTGAAGCTGCTCTCTCAAACATGCGCATAAATACAGAGGTTTAATACAAGCAGCATTGGCCTTCAGGATCAAATTACTTGACTTCCCATGGCCAGTATGCTCAGTGGTTAGAATATCAGCCTGAGCACCAAAGGGTCCTGGGTCAGATCCTGGTCAAGGGCATGTACCTGGGTTGCAGGTTCAATCTCTGACCCTTTCAGGCTGTGCAGGAGGCAACCAATCGATGTGTCTTTCTCACCTCTATGTTTCTTTCTCTCTCTCTATCCCTCCCTTCCACTCTCTCGAAAAATCAATAGAAAAAATATCCTTGGGTGAGGATTAAAAACAATAACAACAAAATTACTTGACCTCTACTAATATTTTTCTGGTCAAATATTTAAACACAGCAGATTGGCCCTGGCCGGTTTGGCTCAGCTGTTAGAACGTCAGCCTGCGGTCCAGAGAGTCGTGGGTTTGATTCCGGTCAAGGGTATGTATCTTGGTTTGTGCCCAGCCCTGGTCAGGGTCGTGCGGGAGGCAACCAGGCACAGTGTTCCTCTCATATGGATGTTTCTCTCTTCTCTCCCTCCCTCCCACTCTAGCTGAAGATAAACAGAAAAATATCCTCGAGTGAGGATTAAAATAAATAAATAAATAAATAAATAAATAAATAAATAAATAAATAAAAATAAACATAGTAGATTGACTCATTCCATTTTTCAGCAACACAGTGAATGAAATAATCTAAGCTTCACTGAGGAGGCAGGAAAGAAATCCTTACCCAGAGTCCTAACAAAGGGGGTGGGGTTCTTTCTCTGCTGTCCTGAATGACTACCCTCTCCCGAGGCCCTTCATGTCAGCACTGGATTTCTCTCTTGCGTTTGAATGGCATGTCTTCTTTCTAGTAAATATGCGACCACATTCCCCACTGAGGGAACCCAACATTGCCTTGCCAAGTTCATTTTCTGGTAAGAGAACCAATCTTTTCTTTGAAATACCAGTTGTATGTATTTGGGGTCGGGTGGTCATGAAAACTCAGCTGAGCCTACCGGCAACCTTCCAGCAGCTTTTCTGCCAATCTGAGATGAAACTGGAATTCGGGCCGCTTAGCTGGCAGAACTTGGGTTTGGGGTTGCCTGTGACCATCTTGCCCCCCTGTGGGAGGAACGTGTCACAGGTTCTCCAGTTACATGGGTCAAGTAACTTTTATACTAGTTCAAAGTGAGTTACTGTCACTTGCCTCCCCAGAAGTCTCACGACATTATCTGTTGCCTTTTTTAACCTTCTTCCTATGTCCATTATTTTGTTGAGAAGCATTTTAGACATTACTCACTTTTTATTAGCAACCACATAAATGCAGGGGTTGTAGAATGTAGAAGATTTTGCAAACAGTGGGGCAATGATGGCCATCGAGGGAGGAATCTTCCTTGGGTCACCAAAAGAAGCCCATAAGCACACGATCGAGTAAGGGGACCACGCCACCAGAAACATGAGTATCATTATCACAGACATCTGTAAAAGAAACCGGTGTTTTCCAAACCCAACATCTAAATAGCTAATATACCTAAAATAGCATAAAAATTATTTAGATTGGCATTTGATGACATAAAGGAAATACTGCATTTTCCCCTCGTTGTTCTTTGCTCATGTGCAGGGGGGAAAGTCATCTATGATAGCAAGAGCTTGTGAAAGGGATGGAATGTGACACACATGTAAAGAATGCCTCCTTTCTTTTGAGGTGTTAGAGAGGAACACAAAAGCTGGCTTTGATGAAAAGCAGATATATACCCACTCCTAGCCCATTTCTAATAACTGTGCTATGGACTCCTGGCATATACAGACTAACCCATTGCACAGAACTTGGACAGTCTCAGGAAATGGCAGTGACAGCTATTTCTGAATGTGAGGTTGCCCATGGAACTCACTGAAATCTGCAAAAGGAGGAAGTTAGACTTCTGAATTCCCTCTGCATTCAGCCGGGCAGCGGCTCCATCCTCGCCCCAGAAGCACCCAGAAGGTCAGTGTCAGCGGGAGAAAGCAGGGGAACTCAGAACTGGGGGACACTGGGCTCAGCTGAGCTGGAGTGCTGTTCTGAAAAGAGAGGTGCTGCATGCTGCCCCCTCCCTGCTCTGAGCCATAAACATACAGGTAGACAGACTTGTACCTCCCACCAGGAATGTGAAAGAATCTCCTTGGAAACGGACCAGCTCAGAAGAAAATACCTAGAGATACGAATCGTCAGAACACCCCCAAAGAAACATCCTGACAAAAGAGTCCATCCAGAGCTTACGATCAGCTTTCTAGTGCACCACTCAATATGCAAGGACAGTCACTGACCCCTGGACACCAAGGAAACACGCAAACTCAGACAGCGACCAAAATGGTTCATAAACTCAGGAGAAACAAAAAATGTGTGATAAACAGAAAGAAAATAGAAATGTATACATGACAACATCACAGAGGAGATATAAAATAAGAAGAGGAAGCTATTAAAAAGAAGTACAAAGTAGCCCTGGCTGGTTTGGCTCAGTGGTTAGAATGTCCGCCTGTGGTCCAGAGAGACCTGGGTTTGGTTCCCACTAAGGGCATGTACTTCAGTTGCCGTTTGTCCCTGGCCCTGGTTGGGTCGTGTGGGTGGCAACCACTCAATGTGTCCCTTTCATGTCGATGTTTCTCTCTCTCTCCCTCCCGCTCTGTCTGAATGAAGAATGGAAAAATGTCCTCGGGTGAGGATTAAAAAAAAAAAGAAAAAAAAGTACAAAGTATAAAATAATTCTTTTATTTATGACAATGTTTTTTTTCCCTGTATATAAAAGAGAGAGCAGGATAGTTTAATGCAGTGGAAAGGGTGAGGTCAATGAGGTGATGGTGCAAGTACAGGGTCAGATTCTGTCTTGATTTAAAATTTTATATTATATTCAATATGGGTTTTTGCATTGATTTTGATTTTTTTTAAATACCGCATTAACTATGTTTCATTACTGAGATTCCGGTGCCTGCTTAAACTTTGCACCAAAGACTTGAGCTTTGCTCTCCTCGCCCAGCCCCAGACCTGGACATGGCAGAGGAAATCTCTCAGAAAGTAGAAACAAAAACAGTCCAAAACAGGGACAACATAGGAGAGAATAGTTAGAAGATAAATGCAGGAGATTAACTATGCAAATAAAAGGAGTTCAGGAAAAGAGAACAGAGAAAACGAAGCAGGGTCGGAGATGGCCAGAGAAATAACACAGAACTCTCCCAAAGGGAGGAGCTGGGTCTCTGCACCGCAAGCATCTACCACGCACACGGGTGGACACAGAGCCACATGGAGCACATCAGTATGAAATTCCACAACTCCGGAGACAGGCGGTCCTACCAGCTTCCAGAGATGACACACACACTGCTACAGTCAGTCACCAGGATGCTGTCAGCCTTCTCAACAGCAGCACCAGAAGCTAGGAGACTATAGAGCACGCCTTCAGAATTCTTTGAAAGTCATCTTTCTACTTAGCATTTTATACCAGGCAACTGGCACAAGAACAGGCATATAGACCAGTGGAACAGAACTGAAAACCCAGAAATGGACCCAAGGCAATACGCTCAATTAATATTTGACAAAGGTGGCAAGAGCATACAGTGGAGTAAAGACAGCCTCTTTAATAAATGGTGTTGGGAAAATTGGACAGCTACATGCAAAAAAATGAAACTAGACCATCAACTTACACCATACAAAAAATAAACTCAAAATGGATAAAAGACTTAAATGTGACCCGTGAATCCATAAAAATTCTAGAAGAAAATGTAGGCAACAAAATTTCGGACATCATACAGAGCAGAATTTTCACTGATACATCACCTAAGGCAACAGAAATAAAGGAGAAAATGAACACATGGGACTACATCAAACTAAAAAGCTTCTGCACAGCAAAAGAAACAATCATCAAAATGGAAAGGCAACCCACTGTATGGGAGAACATCATTGCCAATGATACATCAGATAAGGGGTTAATTTCCAACATATATAGAGTGCTCATACAACTCCACAAAAGGAAGACAAAGAACCCAATTAAAAAATGGGCAGAGGAGCTGAATAGACACCTCTCCAAACAGGACATACAAATGGCCAAGAGACATATGAAGAAATGCTCAACATCACTAATCATCAGAGAGATGCAAATTAAAACAACAATGAGGTATCACCTCACACCTGTCAGAATGGCTGCCATCAACAAATCATCAGACAAGTGTTGGCGAGGGTGTGGAGAAAAGGGGACTCTAATACACTGCTGGTGGGAATGCAGACTGGTGCAGCCACTATGGAAAACAATATGGTGTTACCTCAAAAAATTAAAAATTGAACTTCCATTTGACCCAGTGATCCCACTGCTGGGAATATACCCTAAGAAGCCTGAAACACCAATCAGGAAGAATATATGTACCCCCATGTTCATAGCAGCACTATTTACAATAGCTAAGATCTGGAAACAGCCCAAGTGTCCACCAGTAGACGAATGGATAAAAAAGCAGTGGTGCATGTACACAATGGAGTACTATGCAGCGGTAAGAAAGAAAGATCTCTTATCCTTTGAGACGACATGGAGGGACCTGGAAAGTATTATCCTAAGTGAAAGAAGCCAAGCAGAAAAAGACAAATACCACATGATCTCACTTATATACGAAATATAATGAACATAACAGTCTGAGGAATACAGTAGACCCAGAAACATGGAAGTAGGGCACAGACTGTCATCCCTCAGAAGAGAGGATGGGGGACGGGGGGGTGGGGGGGGTGGGAAGAGATAAACCACAGAACTTATATGCATGTATGCATGACCAATGGACATGGACAACTAAGCCGGGGAGGGGGCGGAGGTGGGGTGGGGTGGGGGGTGCCAATGGGGTAAAAAGGTAAAATATCTGTAACAAAAAAATAAATAAAAATTCATTAAAAAATAAAAAAATAAAAAAAATATATATATATAAAATAAATAAACTGCAAAAAAAAAAAAAAAATTTTATACCAGGCAAATATGACAGGAGAATTTTAAGACATTTCCAGGCATGCAAAATCTTTAAACATTTACCTCCTGATAGCCTGCCCAGGAATCTTCTTGAGAACGTGCTCCACCAAGTGAGAGGGAGTGACCAAGAAAAAGGAAGACGTGCAACCCAGAAACAGGAGCTCGACCTGAGAGAGAGGCCACGGCTCTGCCAGCTGGTGAGGAAGGAGGTGGGGAGGCCTGCTGTCTGGACTTTGGGGCACAGCGGGGGGAGCAGGGCAGAGGCCCAGGAGTGCCAGGAAGCAACGTTCCAAGAAAAGGAGAACAGCTATGAGGCACTTGAAAATACTGAGAAAATTGCTGCTGCCGGTGGAGATTAGAGATGAATTAGTGACAAGCACACAGAATAGTAAGCAAACAAAACTACAAAGAGAGAGAGGGAGAAAGGAAGAGAGAGAGAGAAAGAGGGAGGAAGAGAGAAAGAGAGAGAGAAAGAAAGAGAGAAAGAGAGAGAGAAAGTGAAATAAATAAATTATTAACTCCATGGAAAAAAGTTTTATAAAAAATGAATCAGGGCGATTACTTCGTAAGTTATATTAATGTCTAATCACTGGGTCGTACACTTGAAACTAATATAATATTTTACATCGACTGTAATTGAAAAATAAAAAAATATATTTAAAATGAAATACAAATCACTGACCCCTACAGAGGTCAGCAATAAATACAATTTAGATAATCACAATAATGTAAAATTGACTCTTCAGCTAACTAAACAAGATGAGAAAAGAGATGGTTGGTGGGGGAATAGAAAATGGTGGTGGTATAAGAGAAATATATTCTCATTGTCTGTAGTAGGGAATCGAGAGGTAATGGCAAACAAAAATGTCCCAAACAGCAGATGAGCACAGAGTTTAGCAATGTGAAGGCAAACACCAGACAAAAGCCAGAGAGGAAGAGCCGAGGGGTGGGGAGAGGTGACCGCAGGGGCCAGGGGACCACGCATGTGTAAAAGCCTGATTGCAAAAACGTTTGAAGGATTTTACCGTCTTACCTTTGTTACATCTACCTGATCTGCCCAATCTCTGCTGAGGTGCTCAGGGCAGCGACTAGTAGTGTGACATTTAATGGATCGAGTGACATGGTAATAGCAGTAAAACATCACGGTCAAGGGCACGATAAAATTGATCGCAATAACTGTCATCGTGAAAGAAACAAAAGATCTGAAAATAAGAAAAGGGAATCACTAAGTCACTACCTGGGTGACGTCCTAAACAGGGGAAGGGAAACAGGATAATTACTAGAAATAATACTGGCACTGTCCAGCAGTCAGTATAATTAAGTGGCTTAGGAACTATATTTGACTTCTAGCCCATTTAGACTAGGGTTTGGCAAACTGTGTCCTCTGGGCCCAATCCAGCCTGAACCCTCTCTTTGTAAACAACATTTGTTGGAACCACATCCATTTAGATACGGTCTATGGCTGTTTTCACGGGCAGAGTTGAATGGTTGCGACAGAGACAGTCTTGCCAGTCAAGACCTCAATATGTGCTTGTCAACGCTTTACAGAAAAAGTTTTCGATTTAGATTTACTTTGAGAGTTAGAAATTTTCTAGTTGTCTTCCTGAGTGATCTTTCACTTTCTCTAACAAACTAAATTATCTCTTTTTGCCTGGTAGAAAAGAGCATCACCACCTAACAAGCACATCCTCACAGTGATGGTTCTTTTGCTGCGTGGTTCTCAGAAGATGCTTCATCACCAGCCCATTTTGAAACGGCAGGAAGGAGTCAGCCTCGGCTTTCGCCGGAGCTGCATGCTGTCTAGCAATACTGACATTCATTCCTTATCCCTCTCAGATTCTCCCTCTGAGTTGCAAATATCAGTAAGGTACTCTGTACCCCCTTTTCTGCCAGAGGAGAGAGAAGAAGAGATAGGGTAAGGGGGGCAAGGGGAGCTGGATAGTCTTTACTTGAAAACAAGCATAATGCAATGCTGGAGCCATATCACCACTACAAGGAAGCCTTTGCCACTCTGTACGGAAAACATTTGATCTGAGCTAAAATCTGAAATAGAGAGAAAATGTCTACATTGGAAGCATTTGATTATAAGGTGTAAAAGTGCTTCTTACACATCATTTTTCCGCCAGTTTATGGTACAGGTGGCCCCAGTAGGATCTGGGGCATAACTAGCCCACCCTATGATAGGCATCAAAGCCCAAAAGAGGCCATTGATCCAGGCCCCCAGAATCATGCTGATGTAAGTGTTGGTGGTCATTCTTCTTCCTATTAACAAGCATATGAAATATTAGCGTCAGTTGTCAATAATGGAATTCATATCTTCACTTTGTTTTAACTGATTATTCAAAGTTTTTATCAAGTAGATTGTTTATAGAGAACTTCAGCTCCCTCAAAGCCTATCCACACGGATAAAAAATTCGCCCAAAGGAAAAGCAGAGAGAAGAGCTTTTCAGACCTCAGGAAGCAGCACCTACAAAGACCGCACCGTGGGAAAGGGGGGCCAGGACTCCGAAGCGAGAGGGCTCTAGCCAAAGCTAGCAAGGTGGCAGGGCCTTGGAAATGGTTATGAAATTTAGATTTTATTCTAAGTATCATAGGAAATCCCTTAAATGTTGAACAACGATTGTCAGAGAAATAAAGCTGAGCACGATTGCAACCCGTTCCCTTTCCATTCTAAAGTGAATGTGTGTCAGGTGGTACTTAGGCAAGACACGGATTCACTGAGGAAAGTGCTGTACCAGCGTCAGGGCGGCAAATGGTCCGGTACCGATCCATGGCCACGACCGTGAGCAATCCAATACTTGCCATTCCAAAAAAGATATTCAGTCCCGCATAAATCTGAAATTCAAAATTGTAAAGACTCCACCGTTTTACACACCTTCCACGAGACATTACATTGTTATCCCATTGCTGGAATATAGTAAATGTTTTTTATTGTACTACTTTTAGAATGCATCTTCCATTGTCAAATTGTAACTGGTTTAATAAACACATTTATGGAAAGCGTTTTGAGATTTCATTAATTTTAAAAAAATGTAAGTCTTTAAGTAAAACTTCCATACAACGTACTCTATAAACAGAATGCAAAAACAAACCATAAATTAGTACAATGCATATAACCAATAAAAGAGTAGTATTCAGAAGGTAGACAATTCAATAAGAGGAAAAGACAAACAGAAAAATAGGCTATACATGCAAGGGGAAATCTGAATGTTTGTGACATAAAAAATAATGTATACCACATTATGTATTCAAAGAAGTGAAAATTACAGACACCATTTTACACCCATCAAAATGATAAAAATTTAAAAGTCTGACAATCCCAAATGTTGGGGAGAATGTGGAGTGATAGAAGTTGTTTTAAGTGGCACAACCATTTGGAGAGCGATCTGGCCACATCTAATAAAGTCGAAGATGAACCTTCTCTACAACCCAAACATCCTCTCCTAAGCAATGTGTCTAAAGAAACTCTCACATATCGTAGGAGTCATGTATAAGAATATTCACTGAAGCCTTTTTATGTCAGAAAAGCATTGGGAATAAATGCTCAAGAAAAGAAAAAGTAGTATGTTGGGGTATGTTCATAATATGAGTGACTTACAGCTACATGCATCAACATGGCTAACCCTCAAAAATATTGAATAATGAGAAAAAGTTTTACAATGCAAATAATATATTATTTATATAAAACTTAAAACATTCCAACGTGTGTATTCAGTTTATATACACATAGTAAAAAAAAAAAAAAATTCATGGGAAAGAATGGAATAAGATTGGGATGGTACACAATGAACTTCAACCGTATCTGTAAAGTTTTTTTTTTGTTTGTTTTTTTATCTTTAAAAAGAAAAACAACCTGAAGCACATATCGAAAAACATTAAGATTTTATAAAACTGGTTGGTGTATACATGGGTATTTATTATTCTGTATTAGTCTCATTTTACTCTTTATGATTTCATAGCTTAAAATAGTAACAGTTTAAAAATCAGGCCAAAAGTTTTATTTGCCTACTATCATAACACAAATTAATATTAATTGATCTTCTTGTCAGTAAAAACAATAGTAGATGTGCCCTGGCCGGTTTGGCTCAGCGGTTAGAGCATCGGCCTGTGGTCTGGAGAGACCCGAGTTCGGTTCCCACTAAGGGCATGTACCTCGGTTGCAGTTTGTCCCCGGCTCTGGTTGGTCGTGCGGGTGGCAGCCACTCGATGTGTCTCTTTCATGTCGATGTTTCTCTCTCTCTCTCCCTCCCACTCTATCTGTACAAAAAAAATGGAAAAATGTCCTCGGGTGAGGATAAAACAAAACAAAACAAAACAAAAAAAAACAATAGTAGATGTATTTAACAGCAATTCTCATGGAGGGCTTTCCATACAAAAAAATCAGTAATGTGGTAGGTAGCTTAACTACATTACTTACATATGATATTTCGTTACTATTTGTTGTTTCAAATGAAAGCAGGGCATTTCTTTTTGAACTTGCAATATGCAAGTTTTTATTGGAATATGCAAGGTTCAGCTTTTCTTCTCTAGTTAAATGTTAATTTTTTGATAGCCCCTCTCCCCCTTTGGGCTGGGGAAATTTTTAAAATATAATGATGGCTAGTGATTTTATTTTTCTTATTAAACAATATATTTCCCAGTCACTCCTGGAACTTTTTCATTTTTATTAATTTATTCTTGTTACAGATGTTTCTCCTGTTCCCCGGCAGACACCCTCCTCCCTATCCCGCCCTCTGGAAGCATTGTAGTCTATGTCCATTGGTTACACATACATGCATCTAAGTTCTTTGGTTTATCTTACCCGCCCCCCCGCCACCCCTCCTGAAACTGTTTTCAATAAAAGCACTATACCTATTATCTTATATGATCTTATTAGATCGAAACCCTTGGGATTTTTTTAGGCATTTAAATGTGTATCTCTTTAATCTACTTTATTTTGCTTTCATTCTGAAGAGCTCCAATACCTGACATCCTGCATATCCGAATTTCCAACTTCCATACAGATCTGAAGCAGCAGACATAGGGTAGCCAACGCTGCTGACCCCGATATCGGTAACAGCCAGGTTAATGATAATTGCACTTGTGGGTGTCCGAAGTTCCTTGTACTTAATGAAGATGCCCAGAACTACTATGTTGCCAAGAATACTTATTATACCTGAGAACATACATTAAAAAAATATTATATATTTTATTTTAAATGTTTAAGACTAGTGTCAAAATTAAATATTAAAGCTCCTTTTATGCAGATATATGTTCATTGCAGCATTATTTACAATAGCCAAATTATGGAAATCACCTAAGTGTCCATCAGTAAGTGAATGGATAAAGAAGCGATGCATATATACAATGGAATATGAACCAGCCATAAAAAAGAATGAAATCTTGCATCTGCAACAACATGGGTGGACCTACCGGGTAGTGTATGGAGTAAAATTCAGTCAGAGAAAGACAAATGCCATATGACTTCAGTTATATGTACAGGCTAAAAATCTAAATAAATGAACAAACAAAGCAGAAACAAACTCATAGGTACTGAGAACATTTTGATGGTTGCCGGGTAGAAGTGGGTTGGGAGGATGGGTGAAAAAGGGAAAGGGATTGAGAAGTACAAATTGGTAGTTTCAAAATAGTCATGGGCATGTAAAGTGTAATATAGGAAATACAGTCAATAGTATTGTAGTAACTGTGTATGGTGTCAGATGGGTACTAGATTCATCAGGGTGATCACTTGTATGATATATAAATGTCTAATCACTATGTTGTACACCTGAAACTAATATAATATTGTATATTGGATGGAGACTTGACTCGGGGTGGTGAACACACAATACAGTGTACAGATGACGTGTTGTAGAATTGTGTACCTTAAACCTGTATAATTTTGTTAACCAGTGTCACCCCAATAAATTCAATCAAAAGAAAAAATATATATAGTACTGTATGTTAACTGCAAATGAAAATTTTTTTAATGTTTTTAGAAAGCCCCTGTCCACACACAAATTTCCAAGAAATAGTGCCTACCCTTTCTACATAAAGTATACTCTAGTATGTTATATCCCAGTGTATGTTTTCAAGCTGAGTACATTAAGGCATTTATTGACAATTGGGGAAATTTGAATATGACTGAATTTTAGATGATATTCAGAAAGTATTGTTGTCTTTGTTTAGTTGTAATAATGATGCTGTGGTTTGTAAGGAAATATCCTTATATTTTAGAGATTAATACTGAAGTTTTCAAAGGCAGGATGACATGAAAATTTACTTTAAATTACTTCAAATGGATTGTGAATTCTAGGTGATGGACACCCTTGTTACATGGCTTTTTTTAAGTCGGCAATACCAGGAGCTCCTGAGGATCAGAGCCATCGGAGCCCCCACGTTCTGCTGGGAGGAACGCCAAGCGTGTACCGGCCACTCCGGAAATACTCGGGCAGTTTCCCATAAAGTTAAGTGGACACTTCCCATATGACCCCACAATCCTACTCCTAGGTATAAACTCAACATAAATGAGAACATACGTCCACACAAAGATTTGATAGGGCACATGAACGTTCACAGAAACTATTCATAATAGCCAACAAGTAGAAATAACCTAAATGGCTGTCAACTAAGTGCATTTTCAAAAGGAGGCACAGTAGAATAATACTCAGCAAGCAAGAGGAACAAACCATTCATTTTCCCCCCCTTTATTGATTTTAGACAGAGAGGAAGTGAGAGGGAGAGAGAGATAGAAACATCGATGAGAGAGAACATCGACTGGCCGCCTCCTGCATGTCCCCTACTAGGAATTGGGCCCACAACCTGGGCATGTGTCCTGACTGGGAATCGAACCGGCGATCTCTTGGTGCCTGGATCGATGCTCGACCACTGAGCCACACTGGCTGGATGGGAACAAACCATTCTTAAATGTAACTGCATGGTTATGTTAAACAAGCGACACTCAGAATGATACCTACTAGCTGATTCCCAGGGCTAGGAGTAGGGTCATGCCCGAGAGTGGTACCTCCTTACATTTGTGTTATAGGCACATCACATGCCTCACTCTAGTCCTGGGCCTGCTGATTCCATTTACATGACATTAGGGAAAAGGCAAAAAGAAATAAGGAATAGAAGGCAGATGAGTGCTTGCCAGGGATTGGGGTGGGGAAAGGGTTGACTGCAAAGGAGAAGGAAGAAATTTGGGGGTGGGGGTGATAGAATGTCACCAGATTGTGGCGGTGGTAACATGACTATGCATTTGTCTAAACACATGGAACACACACGCACACAAAAGTGAATTTTAGTCCATGTAAAATTTAAAAAGTAAATAAAAAGCAAAACAAAAAAACAAAAACAAAAAAACCAGGGGAGAGTATGCGGTAATTCATGATACTATTTTCCCTACTTTTCTTCATGTTTGGTATTTTTTTGTGATAAAGAATAAAACATCAAAATGCCTGTTGCTTCTAAGTATATTGCTTCCAAATACATTCCAAGTACATTGCCCAACCCAACCCACTGTTTTAAACACACAGTGCTAAATCATACATTTCTGCAATGTTTGAATAATTTACAATAAAAATATACTATTTTGTGATCCAATAAATAAAGAGAAAAAGACAACATTTTTTCACAAAGACATTCATCACAGCCCTATTTATGATAAAGAAATAAACTAAATGCTCAAGATTGGAGAGGTTAAATAAATTGTGGTACGGCCATGTGATGAAATCTTATACTGATTAAAGGTATTTTTACATAGCATTATATAAAAGGAAAATGCTTATGATAAAAAATCAAATGTAAAAAGAAGCATAGGTGATGTATATTCAGTATGGTTTCGATTAACGTAGAACTTTTTGCACAGTAAAGAGCGGAAGCAAATAAATCAAAATGTTAGCTATAAAAACATAAATACATAAATAAATACATAAATAAATAAGTTAAAAATTATTTAAAAGCCCCTTCAAAAACATAGCAAATCCATTTTAATTCATTGATCTGAAGAGCTCTAGCTGTTCTTAAAACCAGTCTCACATCTTCACAGCCCTTCTGTAAAACAGAAATAAGAAAATTAAAACATAAAGCATCTGCCAATTGCATAAACCAGGATTGAAGATCGGTTTTCAAGTCATCACTGTGAATCATGGTCCTTGAAATTCTTCCCTTGCCTTCCACACCAGCCCTGCTGACTGTTAGCATGTATGCAGGACTCGACCATTTCTTCTGGCGGCTTTACTCCCTCCTTCTCCTTCCTGAGGCCTAAGACTTTCTCTGTGGTCTCCTTCCTCAAGCCTCAACTATCATACATCATCCTACGAGCTCTTCTGTTACTTTCCAGCCCTGACCCAAGCTCCAGTTCCATATTCCTTTTTGTTCAACTAATTGACATTAAGCATTTATGAAGTAACTATGTATGTAAGATCATATGACTATTCCGATATTACTTGAAACCCATGTCCAAATATGAGTTCTTCATCTAATATACACACACACACACACACACACACACACACTCCAAGGTTTGGCTACCCAGAGAGTAACCAGGCTGGCTTTCAAGTGCATTGAGAAGCCTCACAGGTGACGCCATCCTCATCAAGGTTCCAGTCTGGGGTCTGAGTCTTAGCCTTCCTTGCAGGTACCGAAACTCAGTGTGGTTGGTGTCCCAGAATTGGCTGCACTTGGTTAAGATACATGACTGAACTTCTTAATCAGAATGCCCATGCACTAACTTACAAAGAGAAATAGTGTTGTGTGGACCAGATGTGCACGTTAGCATGAGTAACACTCCCTACAGTCTGCACAGTTTGGGTAAGTTTCCCATAAGCCTGATGTGGGCCATACTGGGTGCTGAAGGTGGAGTGCGAAGCGGGTGAATAGATTTCATCTGGGAGATGCTAGAACATCACTGGATTCCTAGGGGCTATATAAGCAACAGAAGTAGCAGAGTGGTGTTCATCATCCTAAAAAGAAACTGGTGAGCCCCAGCTACTGTCTGAAACAAGGAAGGCTTCCAAGCACCAACACACAAGTATCAGCTAAGGAAGAACTTCTATTATAACTTGGCATCTCAGTCAACACTTCCATTTATCATCCTGTTAACACTAATCTTCCAGGTTCCCATTCTCTCCCCCTCCACGCTGCTGGCGGAATGAACTTGCCACAACATTGAATTAACCACAGCTCTCCTCTTCTTCAAACATCCGGTACTCTCCACTCTGTGGAATAAAAGTCCCAGCTGACATTGCAGGCTCTTGGCCTCAATCCACGTTCACCCTCTCCAAGCACGTTTCCACTTGTCAAACAAGCCCTCGACTCTAGTTATTCATCAAATACTCGGCTTTTTGTAAATTTTGACTCATATTTCTCCCTCTTGGAACACACTACTTCTTTCCTCTATCTATGCAAATTCTACCCACCCTGCAAAGTTCTGTTCAAGCTCAATTCTGCCCCAAAGCTTCCTCCTACCTACAGTATATGCTCTTCTCTAAACTCTCAAAGAACTTGCTTATACTACACTTCATCTGTGTGATGCTACAGTGTTTAACTCATTTATGTAATCCCAGTTTTCCCAAGTGGATTTTAGGCTCTTAACAATTTCCATGTTCTTTGAGAATGTGGCATTTAGCAAATTTACTTAATAAGTGGACTACAACTAAAACTCAAATCGCTTAATCTCTATTATTATTATGCTGCAAAGCATAAATAAGGCACAATGACAGCAAATTTGAGGATCCTTTGGCTCTAATTTTAGCATCTAGTATTGTAGCATGTATACAAGAAATAGTCCAAAAAGCTGAATGAATTGAAGAATCTCTCTGGGCTCGCTATAATGTTGTCATTTAAAAGGTCAGATAAAACACAATGAAATGAATTGCTGCCTACCAAGTGTGCAACCAGAAAAAGTGACTGTACTTTGGGGGAGGTCTTAGGTATCAATGAGGCAAACAGTTCGGCCTTTTTCTCTGTTCTCTCTGCCAGTCTCAAGCACTCTGCTTCATTTTCCTTACTGGGGGTGTTCTCTAATCAATAGACAATGGTCATTTAATAGTTAGGTCTAAATTAATTTAATTTCCCTGTTGCTGCTGTGGCTTTTCTCTAGTCTCTTTGGCATATCCTTCCTAGCCTATTTCCTGGACTTTCTTTCTTCATCTCTGCCTTGTTCAACATGAGCACTGTGCAAGTTTCTATTCTAGCCCCCCTTTCTTTTCATAGTCAGCACATACTCTGGGTGATTTCATTCATATCCAAGGCTCTATGCTGATACTTTCCTAATGGACCTCTTAAAACCGAAACCCATGTGTCCAGCTTTTTACTGGACGTGTCTCAAGCTGAACCTAGAAATGTTTCCTCCAGCCTTAAATCTGTTCTTCCTCGGATGTGTTCCTGCCTTGGTGAGTAGCCTCGCCATCTATCCGGCAGCCCAGAAAGGGAACCTGCTGGTCATCTTTGATTTTCCTTCACCTCCGATGTCCACATCCAACCATGGATTCTAACTTTCAGCTCTTGAATGTGTGTTCTTTCTGTCCCCACCGCCACTGTTCTCTCCCCAGGATCCGTCCTAACCTAGGCACACGGGGGCCCCCCACATGGTCTCTTAGCTACCACCATAGAACATTTCTAAAGTGCAAGTTCAATCACATCATTTGGTGACTCCTATTGCCTTTATGACAGATGTGGTTCTTTGTCCCCTGGTACATAGCCATTCTCTTCAGCCTAGTATCTCTCACCCTTCATTTTACAAAAATTCTTTTATAATGAATTTATTTCAGATCCTGAATTCACCATGCCCTCGTGCCTCCCAGCCTGAACTGTAGAAAGGGAGATTGCTCAAGTTGGTAAAAGTTTGTAAGAGCTACAATCTAACAGAAATAGTAAATTTAGAATGAAAAATCTAAATAGGCTCTTAGTAAAAGTAACAAATGAAATAAATGCTTTGACTGAATTATTTTCCTCATAGTTTTGGCTTTGGTCGGGAAGTTTAAGTATTTTGTTAAAGGTGTAAAATTAGAGGAACTTAATAATAAATGTTGTGAACAAAAGCATAGAGTTAGATATGCTTCCTTCAGTTCACCTACCAAAAACACAAACATATATTCATGGTGTTCCTTGATAACAATATGTGAGAGCTCTAGGACCAACACCCTGAGTTCAAATCCTCATCTAACAACTTAGTAGATGTGTGTGTTTGGGCAAGTTACCTAAACTCTTCATCTGTACAAATGGGGCAAATAAAACTATTCACTTACTGAATGAGTGTAAGAATGAATTATTCTGTACATGTAAGTATTTAGAACAGTGGTTGGTATATACCAACTATTCAAAAAATAATATTAGTAGTAGCAGCAGTAGTAGAGGTGGTGTTGGTAGTAGTAGTTGTCAGAGTCATAGCACTAAGATTACTATTATTAATGCTACAGATAAGAACCGCGTAGCACCCTGGCCAGTGTGGCTGAGTGGTGTCAGCCCACACACCATAGGGTCGCAGGTTCAATTCCTTGTCAAGAGCATGTACCTGGGTTGCAGGTTCAATCCCTGGCCCCAGACGGGGTGTGTGCGGGAGGCAACCAATCCATGTCTTTCTCACATTAATGTTTCTCTCTTACTCCCTCCCTCTCTCCCTTCTCCTCTATGTAAAAAAAATCGATGGAGCCTGGCCTGTGTAGCTCAGTGGACTGAGCATCGCTCCATGGACTGACAGGTCTGGGTTCGATTCCTGGTCAGGGTACATGCCCAGATTGCCGGCTCGATCCCTACTAGGGGACATGCAGGAGGCAGCCGATCTATGTTTCTCTCTCACATCGATGTTTCTATCTCTCTCTCCCTTCCTCTCTCTAAAAAACCAATAAAAACATATTATAATAAATAAATAATTTTTAAAAATCAACGGAAAAAATATCCTTGGGTGATGATTAACAACAATAGAACATTTTCTTACCATGAAATTTTCTCTGCACACTATTTGTAACCAAATAAAAAATGATAACTTTTCTTGGTCATTTACAAAAAACTAACTAAACCAAAAGTTTGTAAACAAAATATTTTTATGTAATTGTAATACAGATATTTTCTCTTTAAGTAGCATATTGTTTTCTCATATGGTTGCCACAAAAAAAAAAAAATCAAGAACAGAACTTGTCTAGTACTTATCAGACAGAGGTATTCAAGTAAACAAGTTAGCATATCACTAATATTTACAAAAACTAGCTGAGGAACCACAATTTCTAGCACAGAAATAATACTCTAATTGTAAAATAAGGGGAAACTAAGAATTATAAAGAATAAACTGGGTACAGTTAGACTTGTTTTACTTTTCACTCTGCTTGTGAATATATTTGAAAATTTTTTATAAATCAATCCAAAAATAATTTATTCTAAAACTCATTATGAGCATAGTTGGAAATAAGGTGACTGCTCAGTATAAAACTTATACTACAATTCACCCAGCCGGTGTGGCTCAGTGGACTGAGTGTCGTCCCATGGACTGAGAAGTCCCAGTTCAATTCCTGGTCAGGGCACATGCCCTGGTTGTGGGCTCCAGTAGGGGGCGTGCAGGAGGCAGCTGATAGATGTTTCTCTCACGTAGATGTTTCTATCTCTCACTTTCTCTCTCTAAAATCAATAAAAACATTTTTTTAAAAAGAAAACTTATACTACAATCCATCCTATACATAAAGAAGATAAGCAGACAACTATTGCCATTTCCTCCATCCCTTCTTTTTGGCAAACAAGTCTCTATCTAAATCCAACATGTACACCACTGAGTGTGTGCATGTGTGAAGGAAGAAACATGTATTTGTCTAACACTTACTCTGTGTCATCTAGGTGCATCTATGTGTTAAATTTTACTCTTCACAACAATCATGACAAGTAGCTTATTCTTAACCCCATTTCACAGATAAGAAAATGAGAGAAAAGTGAAAGCAGTTGCTCACTGTTGCAGTGAGACTGAAAGATGAAATCCAAAGCTCAAGACTTGCAATACAGCACACTGAATGAGGTGAATTATCAACTCTGTTCTCAATGACTGAAATACACTCTGCTGTCTTTTATGACTTTAATTTTCTTTCTTGGATCTTTCCATCTTAACTAGATTCCACCACCAAGGACAAAACTACAAAAAGTATGTATGAGAATAGTAAAAGACATAAAAATACACTTTAGCCATGGTGTCAGTTTTCCCCAATAAAAACTTAATTTAACAATGTAATAACCAAATATATGGAGTATAAAAAAATTATTAATTTTATAGAAAAATTTTCTCCGCCTCACGTTACGTCTCACATTGTGTATCAAGATTCAAAGTGGATCGGCGCTACGCGAAGGCTGCAGGTTCAATTCCTGGTCAGGGCACATACAAGAATCAACCAGTGAATGCATAAATAAGTGGAACAACAACTCAGTGTTTCTCTCTCTAAAGTCAATAAATATATAACATTTAAAGTAACTATAACATTCGCCACCATTAACAGTGCTTTCATTTATCTTCTCATCTTCATTCTCTTATTTGATCTTTACTGCCAGGAAATGGAGCAAGTATCATCACCCTTATTTATACGTGCACCCCAACTCAGAAAGGGTGAGTTCAGGAGGTGGCTAACAATATGGAACTTGAAACATTATCTCTGAACCCGTGCTTTTTCTATGAAAACCTCTGCTTTTCTTTGCCCACTCGAAAGCAAAAGTACCATTAATAGAGTAATTAAACATCCATACCTGCCACAATCAAGTAAGTTGCAACAATATTGTGTTCAGTCTGTGAAAAGACCGAGCCATCTTCAGTTTTAGAGTCTGAATGGTTGCCTAAATTATTCCTTAGCATTTTGGAGGGAAGGTATTGAGATAGCCTTCATAATAAGCCTTCAATAATTATAAATGCTATAAATGCCAGCGAGGGAAGAATTTTCAGAACCAATCATTTCCACTTCAAGACCTCAAAGAATGGCCTTTTCATAAAGGCCCTCAATTAACAAATGTGACTGGGCTAAAGAGGAAAGGATTTTAATTCCCAGAGCAAGGGAAAAGCTTATTAGCAAAATAAAGAGAAATACCAAGCCACACATTTTAACCAATTTGAGGATCAGCCTCATATATTTAAGGGGATTATCAAGTGCAAACATCCCATTTAAACAATAAACAAACTCAGAAAATCAGTTCAGGAGCTGACTTGACTGTTCTCTGCTGGAAATCAGTTCTGGAATTAAGAGCCAGGCTTAGTCCTCTAAAACGATTTCAAGTCCCTGTTTTTGGTTGATCCTTTGAAGTTTTTCCATTTCAGTTCCTTTTGTTTTTCCCATAACAATAGAGACAAATAAAGAAGTAATCTTCCTCATTCTTCCAAATCTCACTTTCCTAAAGATAAGAATATTGTTTGGTTTATATCCTTTCTGCTTTTCTTTGCTTATACATACATTCATACAAGGGTTTGAGGTTTCTCCCACTTTAAAAGCAAAAATGGGTAGCAATGTATATATAAAATCATTCTGTAACTTGTTCTCCCCTATAGCCATATCATGAATTCCAGGTCTATAAATCTAAGCCTAATTTTTTAATAGCTCAATATTTCATAGCATGGGTATACCATGAGCTACTTCACAATCCACCTGTTAATTTACCATATACTTTAATATGCACAATTGTCTGATAATAATCAGAGCATACATCAGCCAAGTACCTGGAGTCAGTCATTCCCCAAAGTCCAGGTCAATTGTAATATTCTGGAGTACCTTGTTATAACTCAAAAAATAGTTACATAAGTGGGTTACAGTCAAACATGAACATTTCTTGTTAGACTAAGATATCCCCAACACCTTTTCCCCTCATATTTTATGCCATGTAATAGTATTAAAATCTGATTTTTCTCAACAATGAATTTCTTAAAACCAGTAACTTTAGAGAAATGCTAGATGAACCAAGGTTAACAGTGTTGGCATGACAGAACCACTAGAGGGCTATATTTCCCCATTTAATGTTGTAAATCTCAGAACAGTATAGCAAGGGACCAAAGAGAATCTTTTTGTTTTCTCTCAGCTGTACATAAACGGAAGCAGTTGAATTAGGTTGGGTAACCTGTCCAGGTCTTATAGCTACCAGAACTCTTATTTTTAATAAATGTAAATACTCCAGAGTATCAATAGTAGTAAAGTGAATTTCAACAGTATTCCAATACCAAAGTATTTACAAAAAATCCCAAAGCACCCAAGTAGAATTCTTCCTCTTAAAACCCTTGTTGGGTTTTAAATCTTTTTTTCTTTCTTTCTTTTTTTTTTACATTCAGTATGCAGAATGAAATAAAATAATGTTTTGGTTCATAGTCCCTTCCTTTTCTGTGATGGATTATACCCGGCTGTAGCAGTCACTTAAACTCCCCAGAAATAATTATTTCTACTTATAAAAACAATAACAATTCCAAAGATGGCCAGCTACCTGCTATAGATAGGTTTATTCAAAGTACTTTTTCATGCTTCCTTCATGAGTGATACAGAAAAGCTATACTGGGATAAGGCTTAGAATTCTAAGAAATATAACTATTTTATATCAAACTGTTTACGTAGCTCATAATCCCTTAATTTCATAAACTTCAATTGTATAAAGTCAATCCATCTTTCATAACTCTTCCCAAACTTCCAGGAATATGAAGAAATACTGCTTATGTTCCATTCAACTGCTTAATTGCTATGGTAACAAATGCATTTTAACATGACACAATCAGAATGTTATTCAGTTAAGAACTCAAAAGATTTAATATGTGAATCAAAATATCTTTTACAATGAAACTCAGTGATACCTCAGTACCATATTCACTGTCAGGCTCCCTGCATATGTAAAACTGACTCACAACTAAACGCCCCAAAGGAAACCCAGAAAGGAAGAAACCACATTAAGGAAGAAAAAGGAAAGAATAGGATGTGAAAATAAAAGATTAAAGATGGCCAATGACAAAAAATATACCCAAGAAAAAGGTAAAATCTCCAAGTGGTTTGTCTACCAACCTACACACTACTTCAATCATAGCCAAAAGTGTGGGAATGTTGCACTATTATTTGTCCTTGGGATGATGCCATGGTCTTTACAAACCAAGAACAGAAACCCTGGTCCTAACGCACTAAAAATTTCAACCCAAAGATTCTAAATCACATCACCTCCTTTCCCAGATTGTAAAAGCACAATTGCTTCTTCCTGTGAAACAGTAATTTTCAACATGTTTGTTCATCATATATATTTACGGCCTACGTATTTACTAATCCTGCCACAGTTCCATAAAAAAAAGACAAGTAAAACCCACAATATTGACATAGGCAATACTATATGCTACTCAAATGAGTATTAGGTAAGAAAATTATAGGAAAAGCTATGGCAACATCATTCCTTCAGAGAGAAAACACAGTGAGCAGGAAAAATCAATGGCAGGGAAAGAGTGCTGTATCACAGTATTCTACTTGCTATCATGGCTACTTCTTGACACTACAACAGCAACAGGGACCAAAACCAACTTCATTTGTAGTGTCTCTACCCAGGAATCTGAATGGGTAACAGGAAATCAAGGATTTGCACCCAGCCGGTGTGGCTCAGTGGTTGAACATCGATCCATGCACCAAGAGGTCACAGTTCAATTCCCAGTCAGGGCACATGCCCAGGTTGTGGGCCTGATCCCCAGTAGGGAGAGCATGCAGGAGGCAGCCAATCAATGTTCTCTCTCATTGATGTTTCTCTTTCTCTCCCTCTCCATTCCTCTCTAAAATCAATAAAGAAAAAAAATTTTTTTTTAAAATTTGTGTATGGTGCCCTGGCTGGTTTGGCTCAGCGGTTAGAGCGTCAGCCTGCAGTCCAGAGAGCCTCGGGTTCGGTTCCCACTACGGGCACGTACCTCAGTTGCAGTTTATCCCTGGCCCTGGTTGGGTCATGCGGGTGGCAGCTACTCGATGTGTCCCTTTCACGTCGATGTTTCTCTCTCTCTCTCTCTCTCTCTCTCTCTCGCCCTCCCACTCTATCTGAACAAACAAATGGAAAATGTGAGGATAAAAAAATAAAATAAATAAAAATTTGCATATGGTGAATAACATCTTAAACCTTTAGTGTCCCTTTAAAAAAAGTAAAATAAGAACAATCAGTAAAACTTTCACCATTCAATCTGTATTGAATGAGAAAAATTAAACGTTTCTTCAGCAATTTCTTGACCTTTCAACAACTGTTCCAACTTTAATAGAGTTGTAATCAATTCTAAAATTTTGCAATCAACTCATCATTACAACTAGAGAAACTGCTTTACTCACACACAAAAGGAAAATACAATAAAGGCTGCTGATGTTCTTATATATAAAAGGCGAACATTTTGAAAGCGGTGTTAGTTTATAAAGAATGTTAAAGCATTGCTTCAGTAGCCTGGTTTTAAAGATCAGTTATGTAAGTCAACAAATCATTTTTTCTACATGAAAACCACTGGTTTTAAACTTTAGTTGTTCACTTTAACTTCAAAAATAGCTCTGGTTTAATAAACACCTCTGTACATAACTTAAAGAAATAAAATTCTTTATTGTAAAAATTCAAATATGCTTCATGTGAAAACTGTCCATTTATTAAGTAACCACGGTTCCAAGAATTATACAAAACATTAAAACACTGGTTCAAACTATTTTAGAACGAAAGTGCCTATTCTCTTGCTCTCGTTCGTATGGCGTTGACACCTGAGTGCCACTGTCATGTTGTAACCACTTCTTCAAGACTTGCTCAAGAAACAAAGTTCTGATCAACAGAAGCAGATCATGCAGGTTTAATGTAGAAGTTAGCTGGTGAAGTTCCTCTGTCAATTTACACTTAATGTCCTCTCCCTGATTAAGAGAAAATAAAAGTATTAAAGGTATAGAAATTAATTTTAATAGTATTATTACCCAAATCTCAAGTTTTAAATCACCACTAATTCCTGTAATGTTTAGCAAACCTACTTTACAAAATTTAACTATCATTCATATTACACCTTTTTCTTTTTCCAATTAGAAATACAACAAAATAAATTAGAAGTAGGTGATAAAATTCAAAGGGAAAAGCAAGGAAGAGCAATACAAATTGAAGCTATAAATTAGGCTAAAGCAAATAACACCATGGTGTTCTACAGACTTGCTAGCAAACAAAAATAAAACTAAAAAAATTTTAAATTCCAGACAATACCAATTCTAGAAATTCAGTCCTGTAAAGACTTTTTTTCACACTTACCTCTGAACCCACCACTCCCTCCTCTTCCTCCTCTGAAGCCTCCGCCTCTACCTCCTCCTCTTCCACCTCTAAAACCACCTAAAAATAAGGAAAACATTTATTAAATAACTATAGCCTATCATATTCTGGTAAGTCTACAAATATCAATACAATTCCTACAAGTATAAAGAAAAATAAATTCACAAATATGTTTTGCAGAATTTTTTAGGATAAAAATAGAAAAACTGCAGAAGTTTCCCAATTCAGTAGCAGGCTAAAACCCTAGATTACAACATTTTAAACAAGCATTCTGTTTTAATGAATTAGAAAAGTTTGTTACTTCAAAGTCTGATTTTCCCCTACTGTTAAACATATGAGCACCTTAACTTTTGGTTACGGTGAATACTTTTTTGATTGAACAAAGGCTTTTCATCCTAAGAGCAAACGGGAGCAGATGTAGGTGGCTCTCATCTACGCATGCTACAGTCAACACATCCTTTAAGGTTGACTGAACTGCGCAAGGACCATCACTGACACTCACATGCTTGATGAGCCTTGAACTTAAAAACTTTTAAAGCATTTTTCTATTATCCAACACATACTGGCTTTCTATTTCGGTCTCCTTTTTTTACTTACTGGGGAGACTTACTTTGTAAGAAATAATGAATTATAAAGTGAGAAATTATAGGATGTCCTAGCCACAAGAGACAAGAAAAAGAAATAATAAAAGTCATCCAAATTGGAAAAGAAGTAAAACTTATTATTTGCAGATAATATTATATAGAAAGAACCCTAAGGAGTCCACCAAAAATTATTAGAACTGATAAATGAATTCAGTAAATTAGCAGGATACAAATTTAAAACTCAGAACTCAGTTGCATTTTTATACACCAATAATGAACTATATGGAAGAGAAATTAAGAAAACAATCCCATTTACAATTGCATAAAAAAAAAAAATACCTACGAATAAATTTAACCAAGGAGGTAAAAGACTTAGACTTGGAAAACTGAAAGACTCTGAAGAAAGAAAATGAACAAGATACAAATAAATATACAGTGCTCATGGATAAGAAGAATCAATTAACATTGTTAAAATGTCCATACCACCCAAATCAATCCATAGATTTAATGCAATTCCTGTCAAAATACCAATGGCATTTTTCACAGAACTAGAACAAATAATCTTAAAATTTATATGGAACCACAAAAGGTCCCCAAAAGCCACAGCAATCTTGAGAAAGAAGAACAAAGTTGGAGGTATCATCTTACATGGTATTGAACTATACTACAAGTTTACAGTAGTCAAAAGAACATGGCACTGGCATAAAAACACACACATAGATCAATTGAGAATACAGAATAGAGAGCCCAGAAATAAACCCAAACCTATATGGTCAATTAATCTATGACAAAAATACACAATGCAAAAAATGAAACTAGACCACCTCCTTACACCATATACAAGAATAAACTCAAAATAGACTAAAGACTTAAATGTACAACCTGAAACCATAAAACACCTAGAAAACATAGGCAGTAAACTCTGACACTGCACTTAGTAATATTTTTTTCTGATTTACTCCTTGGGTAAAGGAAACAAAAGAAAAAAATAAATGAAATTACATCAAAATAAAGATTTTACACAGCTAAGGAAACCATCAATAAAATGCAAAGACAACCTACAGAATGGGAGAATGTATCAGCCAATGATATACCCGATAAGGGGTTAATATAAAAAATTTATAAAGAACTCACATAAATCAACACCAAAAAAAAAAAAAATCTAATTAAAAAATGGGCAAAAGACCTGAATAGACATTTCTTCAAAAAGAACATACAGATGGCTAGCTGACATATGAAAAAGATGCTCAATGTCACTAATCATCAGAAAAATGCAAATTAAAATCACAATGAAATATCACCTCACACATATCATAATGGCTAGCATCAATCAATAAATAAAAAAATAAGTGTTGGTGAGGATGTGGAGAAAAGGGAATCCTGTATACAGTTGCTGGGATTGCAAACTGGTGTAGCCACTGTGGAAAATCAACCAGTATGAAAGTTCCTCAAAAAATTAAAAGTTCCTCAAAAAATTAAAAGTACCAATTCCACTTCTAGGTATTTATCTGAAGAAATCCAAAACACTAATTAGAAAAGATATATGCACCCCTCTGTTCACTGCAGCATTATTTACAATAGCCAAGATATGGAAGCAACCTAAGTGTCCTTTGATGGACGACTAGATAAATAAGATGTGGTACATATATACAATACAGTATTAATTGGGCAAAAAAAATGCAATCTACCATTTGTGACAACATGGTTGGACCTAGAGAGTATTCTGCTAAGTAAAATGAGTCAGACAGAAAGACCAATATTATGTGATTTCACTTATATGTGGAATCTAAAGAACAAACAGAATAGAAACGGACTCAGATACAGAGTACATTTTAATGGTTGCCAGATGGGAGGAGGTTAGGAGGCTGGGTGAAAAAGGTGAAGGAATAAAGAAGTACCAATTGGTATCTACAAAATAGTCACAGGTCTCAACCAGTGTAGCTCAGTGATTGAGCATCGACCCATGGACCAGGAGGTCTCCGGTTTGATTCCCAGCAAGGACATGTGCCTAGGCTGTGGGCTCGATCACCAGTGGGAAGCATGCAGGAGGCAGTCAATCGATGTTTTTCTCTCATCGATGTTTCTCTCTCTCTCCCTTCCCTTCCAATCTCTCTAAACTTCAATAAAAACATATTTTAAAAAATTATCACAAGGATGTAAAGTAGAGCACAGGGAACAGAATCAATGATACTGTGATAACTATGTCAGGTGGATATTAGACTGATCGGGGGATCATTCTGTAAATTATATAAATGTCTAACCACTGTGCTGTAAACCTGAAAATAATATAAAATAATACTAAATGTCAAATATAACTAACAAATAAAAAACAAAAATTTTTAAAGAGAAATTATTTAAAAAAAAAAAAAAAGATACTCCCAAATACTGGTATAAAAATATCAAGGTTTTGCCTTGGCCAGTATGGTTCATTTGGTTGGAGTGCCGTCCCATATACTGAAAGACTGCAGGTTCAATTCCTGGTCAGGGCACATACCTAGGTTGCAGATTCGATCCCCAGTCGGGACACGTACAGAGGCGGCCAATCGATATTTCTCTCTCACATCTATGTCTCTCTGTCTCACTCCCTTCCCCTCTCTCTAAAATCAATAAGCAGTCCTGGCTGGTTTGGCTCAGCTGTTAGAGTATCTTAGCCCACATACCGAAGGGTCTCGGGTTCAATTCCCAGTCAAGAGCACGTACCTAGGTTGCAGGTTTGAACTCCGGCCCTAGTCAGGGTCATGTGGGAGGCAACCAATCAGTGTGTCTCTCTCACATCAATGTTTCTCTCTCTCTCTTACCCTCCTTTCCACTGTATCTAAATTAAAATAAAATCAATAAGCATGTCCTCAAATATATATATATATATATATTTTTTTTTTTTTTTTCTAAATAGACTAGAGTTGTGAGTCTTTTTAATGTTAAAATTGAGACTAAATATAGAACGGGAATTAAAGGATCTCCCTTCATCAAATACCCAAAAGGGTACTCCCAAAAATATTTAAGAAATAAGTATGTTTGATCTCAAGAAACTACCTCCTAGCTATCTAGACCCAAAAAGTACATTTACAGAGTGAAGTGATAATTAAATTGAGAGTGGTAAAGAAGAAAACGGAGGTCTGTCTCTTTTTTGATTCAGTAACAAAAGCCTTCCAAACCCATTTTCAATTCCTCTTCCTCACCACCTTTACTCTGCCCATCCTCCAGGCATCCATCCACCACACCATTCACAGATCTCAGCATATCCGACGCTGAACCCCATCTCATCCCCAGCCCTGCTCACCATCTAATTGTCCATAATAATGAATGTACCAAAACACTGAAGAAATATATGTCAAAATACTGAACTCAAAGCAATTAATTTATTGATAATGGTTTTTGACATGACATCAGAAGGTATAGATTTTATTTCTAGGCTGGCAATTATTTGATTAGGGCATATTAACTTTTGTAAGCCTCCATTACTGCATCCACAAAATAAGTATATCACCTATCTTGCAAAATCTTGCTGACTATTCAAAGAATATACACAGATATTGAGAATATATGATCAGCTCCCCACATATAATCAACAATGACATTAACTAAAATTCAGTTATGATAATATTATACTTTATAAAATGCCCAATAAAACATTAATAACTCAGAGCGATTAAATCTCTCAAAATTATACTTTATTAGATTTTTTTCTTTTTAAATAAGTCATTGAAACTAAGCATTATTACTATGGCAATTTGCCAAAATTTGAAGATCGTTATACTAAAAAAAGAAATACAGGCAATTTGCCAAAATTTGAAGATCGTTATACTAAAAAAAGAAATAAACAAAAAAACATTAGGGAGGTTTGCCTATGTACAAAATTTAATTGAATTGGCTGCAACTTTGAATCTCGTTAGAAATTTTCTCCCACAAGTAACTTACCGCCTCTACCACCACCTCTGCCGCCGCCTCCTCCTCTTCCTCCTCCTCGACCGCCCCTGCCACCACCTCTTGGAGGTCCCTTCTCACCTGGAGGTCGAGGTAAAAACCTCTGCAGTGGCAGCAGTTTATATGGGTCTATATAAAACTGGAAATATAACAGAAACAATTAGTGTGGTGACTTGCAGGTAGTACAGTATAATCATGAAGAACCTCCAACTAGACTCAAAACTGCCTGGATTCAAATCCCAACTCTACTACATACTACTCTGTAGCCCTGGTCAAAACTTAGTTTCTTTGTGCCTTTTTTCTGATCTGTAAAATCAAGAAAATAAAGTATCTACCTCACATAGTCCTTGTGAGGATCAAAAGAATAATGTACATAAAGCACTTGCACTTTGGTACATAATAAGCATAACATGCACAGAAACAGAAACCAAGACTAATACAATCTCATTTCTCCTTAGAAATAGATAATGCCTTCCAAAAATTTACTACATTTTAACTCAACAAAATTGCCATAAGAAAACGGAAACTATTAAAAATTTAGCATTAAAATCCAAAATAAAACACTGGCACATTTCAAGACTTAAATAAAGAATCAGTAACATTTTACTGAACATATGAAGTAATGGAAGATTTGTATAAACTAAACTCAGCCTACATTTAGGTTTAAAAAATTTTTTACAATAATGAAATATAATGGGATGTATTTCACAATTTTACACAAAACACACGAGTGCTTCAAAACTATAATGTATTACTTATAACAAGATGCCTGAATCCCCCTTTTTCTTTCCTTCAGAGCCCATCCTCTGAAAAATATTATCTAGGTCTGTACTGCCCAGTATAGCAACCACTAGCTACATGTGGCTATTCAATTTAAATTAATTAACAATTAAAAATTCAGTTCCTGAGTCACACTACTACAAATGGCTAGTGGCTCCTGCACTGCAGGAATTTCTACCACAGAAAATTCCACAGGACAGCATTGGTCTAGAGACCATTACAGTAACTCAGACTAGGCAAGGAGAGCTTGAACCTGAACAGTGACTCTAGAAATGGGGAGAGGTAGAATGTACCAATTTAGCATCTGTGATACAAAAAAAAACAAAACAAAAATAACACCACTAAAAAAATCCTCAAATAAATAATGCCATGAGAAAAGGCAGGCATCCAGGTTAAATTTAAACGGCTATTACAGGTAAATTATTTTTTTCAAGTCACCAAATGAGGAGCCTGGCTCTTAGGCCCACCCAAAGCAGAGCAATTTTCCAGTGTGTATTTGTCAGAGTTTCTACAACCAGGTTACATATCCTAGCAACAAGGCATTGTCCCCATCTCATCTCCTATTCTAAGCTGGCATCTGGGCCCATCACTCCAGTTTCTCCATGGCCTACTTGCTGAACTCCATGTTGCTAAATCCGATGAACACTTTGCAACAGCCTTTTGCCATAGCTGAGCACTTCCTCTTGGAAACATTCTCTCTCTGGACTTTTGTGATACTTCTATGAAGCTCTCCTGGTTTGCCTTCCTTCTTGGCAGTTACTTCTGAGTCTCCACTAACAGATATATGATTTTAGGAGGTGCTCCAAAGCTCTTTTCCTCTCATTCTTTCTTCCTAGGCTTTATCATACACTGTCTGTACAATGACAACTGCCCAATTCTCTCTAGTTTACTCTTCCTTTGAGTGCCTATGTGAATCTCACAAATGCTGCAAACTCATTATGTCCAAAATGGAACTCAATCTCCTCCTGTCCCAATTCCCTTCTTCGCCAGTGTTGCCCATTTCAGTGAATGGTGACATCACCCACAAAGATGATGAAATCAGACATCTGAAAGATGGTAGCATTTTTTACTTCAATTTCAACAGCTGATCAATTACCAAGACCTATCAATTCTACTTCCTATTACCGCTCACAAATCCATCTATTCTCTCCATTTCCACTGTCACTGCCCTAGCCCAAAACATCTCTTCCAGGGCTAATGCAGCAGCCTCCAACCTGGCCCCTTCACACAGAGTCCTGGACCCCTTCCCAGGGAGCTCCTTTACTTTTCCAGTGTTCTTAGGTATAAATTTAGCCACATTTTCCCAAATATTTAAAACTAAAGCTAAAGTCTAAACTCTTTCCTGTGACCTGAAGGCCTTAAGTAATCTAGCCCCTGACTACCTCTAGTCTTAATTCATAACTTTCTCACTTCTAAATGTTCTCGGTCCCAGCTCTGCCCTGTTCAGATCCTTCACGTGGCGCACCGTCTCAGAGACATGCACGTACTGTTTCCTCTACTTGCACTGCACTTCTTCCCTCTCTCTGACTAGCACTAGCCCAACTACATCAAAGTCAGCTAAGAGCCTTCCTTTTTACAGCTGAGTCCTGGTGCCTCCCTAAGACATACAGGGTCACATTTCTAACAGTGCAACCCAGAAATACATCTTCTTTAAGCACCCCCAGATAATTCTGATGTGAAGCCAAGACTGGGAATAACTGCTAGTCAACTTTCAGGTCTCAACTTCAAGCTCCACTTCCTCAGAAAACCAATACACAAAATTTGGTCCCACTAACATTTTCATATCTACCTATATTTCTCTTGCACATAATTAATATCTGACTTCTCCAAGTTAATATGACTTTTATAATTTAATGTTTTATCTAAAATAGCCATGCAAGGCTTTTCAATAATAGAGTTTTACATAAACTAAAAAACATACTCTAACAGTTACAGAATTTGCTAATATGAGCAAGGAGTACTTTCTGAAAGCCAGTATTAAATAAATTACTCTTGCCTGACCAGTGTGGCTCAGTGGCTGAGCAATGACCCATGTACCAAGAGGTCACCAGTTTGATTCCTAGTCAGGGCACATGCCCAGGTTGTGGGCCAGATCCCCAGTGGGGGGTATGCTGAAGGAAGCAATCAATGTTCTCTCTCATCAATGTTTCTATCTCTCTCTCCCTCTCGCTTACTGTCTCTTTAAAATCAATAAAGAAAAAATTTTTTAAATAAATTACTCTCAAAGAAATTAAGTTCAATGTCTGAAGTCAAGAATATCTCAATTTAAGAGCTTCACTGGTGATATATTGAGGAGGTCTCAAGTGCCCTAAGCAGGACTTCACTTTAAAACCAAGGCTACTAGGTATCATGACCTTGACTCACCTTCTGTAGTTTTTTAAAGGATGATGCCTTCATGTTTTCTGACAATTTAACAGAAAAATACTATTACTTTTATTAAGGAAAAAGCAATTACAATAAAAAAAGGTAACCTTCTGAATTAAAACTAAGATTAAAAACAAGGTTAGAATATATGGAAATGTTTAGGAAAAGAAAGAAATGAGTTTCCAAGAGGAAATTAATATTTTGTTTTAGAACTTCCAGTTGCACTATACCATTCCAGTGACACCATCATATCCTGCAGCACTTATTCAAATGACAATCAATTCTAAAATCTTCCCAGAAGACCCTGATCAGTTTGGCCCCACGGTTTTAGTGTTGACCCGAGGACCAAAGGGTTGCCAGGTTTGATTCCCAGTCAAGGGCACATACCTGGGTTGCAGGTTCAATCCCCAACCAGGTCAGGGTCGTGCAGGAGGCAAGCAATAGATGTGTTTCTTTCACTTCGATCTTTCTCTCTCTCTTTCTCTCTCCCTCTCTCATCTAAAAAAAAAAAAAAAAAAAATCAATGAAAAATATCCTCAGGTGAGGATTAACACACAAAAAAGTAAATAATAATAATAATAACAATAAAATCTTCCCAAAACAGAAATTGAAGATGTAATCAATAAACTCCCAGCAAACAAAAGCCCAGGCCCAGATGGCCACACAGGGGAGTTTTACTGAACATTCAAAGAAGAATTAACACCCATTCTCCTCAAACTATTCCAAAAAATTCAAGATGTCCAAACTCTTTTTATGAGGCCAGCATAATTCTAATTCCAAAACCAGATAAAGACACTACAGAGAAAGAAAACTACAGGTCGATATCCCTGATGAACACAGATGCCAAAAGCCTTAACAAAATATTAGCAAATCAAATCTAGCAATACATTAAAAAACTATTCACCATGACCAAGTAAGATTCATCCCAGGGATGCAAGCTGGTACAATATTCGCAAATCAATAAATGTGATACATCATATATACAAAATGAAAGATAAAAACCATATGATCATATCAATAGCCGCTGAAAAAGCATCTAACAAAATCCAGCACCATTTCTGATAAAAACGCTTAGCAATGTGGGATTAGAGGGATCATAGCTCAACATAATAAAGGCCATCTATGAAAAACTTACAGCCAAAATCATACTCAATGGGCAAAAACTAAAAGCATTTCCCTTAAGAACAGGAACAAGACAGGGATGACCACTTTTAACACTCTTATTTAACATAGTACAGGAAGTCTTAGCCACAGCAATTAGACAAAAAATAAATAAATAAATAAAAGGGATCCAAAATGGTAAGGAGGAAGTGAAATTGTAACCATTCACTGATGACATGAAATTGTACATAGAAAACCCTAAAGACTCCATCAAAAATCTATTAGATTTAATAAATGAATTTGGCAAAGTAGCAGGATACAAAATTGAGATCCAGAAATCGATGGCATTCTTATGCACCAATAATAAACACTCAGAAAGGAAAACAAACAAAAAAATCCCATTTACCATTGCAACAAAAAAAATAAAATACCTAAGAATAAACTTAACCAAGGAAGTAAAAGACCTGTTCTCAGAAAACTACAGGACACTGAAAAAGAAATAGAAGATATTAAAAAGTGGAAACATATGCCATGTTCATGGATCAGAAAAATCAACATCATTAAAATGTCCATACCACCCAAAGCAAACTACAGATTCAATGCAATCCCTATTATGGTACCAATAGCATATTTCACAGATCTAGAACAAACATTCCAAAAGTTTATATGGAACCATAAAAGACCCTGAATAGCCATAGCAATTTTGAAAAAGAATAACAAAGTGGAAGGGATCACAATACCAGATATCAAGTTATACTACAAAGCCATCATAATTAACACAGCCTGGTACTGGCACAAGAACAGACATATAGATCAATGGAATAGAACAGAAAACCCAGATATCAAACCAAGACAATATGCACAATTAATACTCGACAAAGGAGGCAAGAGCATACAATGGAGAAAGACAGCCTCTTCAATAAATGGTGTTGGGAAAATTGGACAGCTATATGCAAAAAAATAAAACTAGACCACCAACTTACACCATACACAATAATAAACTAAAAATGGATAAAAGACTTAAATATAACCTGTGAAACCTTAAAAATCCTAGGTAGGCAAAAAAATCTCAGACATCAAATGTAGTAGAATTTTCACTAATACATCACCTAGGACAAGAGAAAGAGGAAAACAATTAATAAATGGGACTCCATCAAACTTAAAAGCTGCATGGCAAAAGAAACCAGCATTAAAATGAAAAGGGAACCCACTCTCTAGGACAACATATTTGCCAATGATACATCAGATAAGGTTAATATCCAAAATGCAGAGTACTCATACAACTCAACAAAATGAAGACAAACAATCCAATTAAAAAATGAGCAAAGGACCTGAACAGACATTTTTCCAAAGAGGATACAGAAATGACCAGGAGATATGAAAAAATGCTCATCATCTCTAATCAGAGAGATGCAAATTAAAACGACTATGAGCCCTGGCCGGTTTGGCTCAGCGGTTAGAGCGTCGGCCTGCGGTCCGGAGAGACCCGGGTTCGGTTCCCGCTAAGGGCATGTACCTCGGTTGCAGTTTGTCCCCGGCCCTGGTTGGTCGTGCGGGTGGCAGCCACTCGATGTGTCCCTTTCACATCGATGGTTCCCTCTCTCTCTCTTCCTCTCTCTCCCTCCCACACTGTCTGTACAAAAAATGGAAAAATGTCCTCAGATGAGGATTTAAAAAAACAAACAAACAAAAAAAAAAAACGACTATGAGGTATCACCTCACACCTGTCGGAATGGTCGCCATCAACAAATCCTCAAACAAATGCTGGCAAGGATGTGGAGCAAAGGGTACCCAAGCACAATGCTGTGGGAAAGCACACTGGTACAGCCACAATGGAAAACAATACGGTATTTCCTCAAAAAATTAAAAATGGAACTGCCATTTGACCCAGTGATCCCACTTCTTGGAATATATCCTAAGAAGCCTGAAACACCATCAGGAAAAATATATGCACCCCTATATTCATAGCAGCACTATTTACAATAGCTAAGATCTGGAAACAGCCCAAGTGCCCATTAGTAGATGAGTGGATAAAAAAACGGTGGTACACGTACATAATGGAATACTATGCAGCTGTAAGAGAGATCTCTTACCCTTTGAGACGACATGGAGGGACCTGGAGAGTATTTTGCTAAGCGAAATAAGCCAGTCAGAGAAAGACAAGTACCACATGATCTCACTTATTTGTGGAACATAATGAACAAAATAAGCTGTCAACCAAAAGAGATCCAGAATCATAGAAGTAAGGAACAGACTGACAAAACTCAGAGGGATGGGGGAGTGGAGGGGTGGGGGATAAACCAAAGAGCTTATGTACATATATGCACAACCAATTGACATGGGCACTGGGCTGGGGAAGGCAGGAGGTGGATGGGAGCAGGAAGGAGGAGTCCATGGGGGGGAGAAAAGGGGACATCTGTAATACTTTCAACAATAAAAAAAAAAAAAAGAAAGAGTCCTGGCCTGTTTGGCTCAGCGGTTAGAGCATTGGCCTGTGGTCCGCAGAGACCCAGGTTCAGTTCCCGCTAAGGGCATATACCTCGGCTGCAGTTTGTCCCCAGGCCTGGTTGGGTCGTGCGGGTGGCAGCCACTCGATGTGTCCCTTTCACGTCGATGTTTCTCTCTCTCTCTCTCTCTCCCCCTCTCTGTTCCTCTCACTCTATGTGAACAAAAAATGGAAAAATGTCCTCAGGTGAGGATTAAATAAATACTTTAAAAAAAAAAAAAAGAAAGAAAGAAATTTGACCAATGGCCAAAGAATTACAAATATAATAATAATAAAACCTTCCTAAAAGGAGCTATCTTTACAAGACAGGGGTGGGCAAAGTAAGTTTACAGTTTGTGAGTATGCAAAACACAGTTTATTCTTGTATTATTATTAATTACTGTACTTTCCATATGAATTGTAAACCTACTTTTGCCCACCCCTGTATAGATGGAAATAGTCTCCTCTTGATTCTCCTTTATGGTCTGAAGCAACAAGTTTAATTTAATTAATACTTAGCTCCATAAAAAGCAAATAATAACCTTTCAATGAGATCACTAAATCTTCCAATTTAAAAAGGATACAAAATCTCTAAGTTGTCCAAATATTTCATCCACTTTTCCAATTTGTTCTTTGTTTTCTAAATAAACTGGAGCATTGAAATAAGGCACCTTATTTTCATCTGTGGTACATTTACAAACTATGTCATCTTCACAGGGATGCAGGAACTCCCCTAATACTGAAATAGGACAAGAAAACATTAAAATATAAAACAATTTCAAATGATATTGACCAACCTATTCTGGAAGCTTTCTTCTTGGCTACCTGGGATTTCACCATATCTGTTCTCCTGAGACACAAAAGCCTTCCTGAGTTGGTATACCAAACCAAAACATACTAGCTATGTGACCTAGGGTAAGGGTCTCACCTTTTCTCTGCTTCAGTGTCCTCATCTTTACTATAGGACTAATAACAGCTCCAACACCTAACATATAGTATTGTGAGTATTAAGTGCAATATTAAATATCAACTGCTTGGAAAAGTGCCTTGCACATTGAGACCCCTCAACCTAGAACGGCGATTTTATTACAATAATAGGTATTATTATTTAACACTATGTTGTATTTACCATCTATTCTTTCTTCTCCCCAACCCTAACAGTAAAATCAGTCTTGGTTGTTGTCTTTTCTTCCTCTCTTTTTATACCTTCTCACTATCACCTCTTCACCAATGACTCTTCAATCTTTTCCAGAAAAGTGTGGAATCTCAAAATGACTACCTTTATTTATAATTGACTATCAGCCCAAACTAAAATACTCATCACACTGCTGCAAAACCAACTCTCTATCCCTATCACCCAGGCTCAAAACCTAGAACCTTTTAACAATTACCAGTATTAGTCAAGTTCTACTGAGTGTGTTTCTATTGAAATCTCTCCCCCATCTAATCCTTCCTTTTTTCCCCTCACTTTCACCCTGCTTTCAATGCTTCCCTCATTCACGCACTGTTGAAATTGCTTCTACTACCCTCTTCAAATCACCTTGCATACTGTCCAACGTATTCTTTACATTAGACTGTATTCACCTTCTCTCCTCTTTGATGTAGGATTCTACTGTCAAATCTCTGTCTCAATTTCCATGACTCCCATTCTACCTCTGATAATTACTCCAAAACTGCTCTAATTCGGTCTTTCTCCTGACTTGTCCTCCGTAGTTTCCCTTCCTTGCAAAATGTTTTTCTCACTTCTCTTACTTATGAGTAAGATAAAGTCTGGGCTTTGGAGTCAGAAAACTTGCTTTTATCTCAAAAATATTATTTTTACTGATTGATCTCTTATTCCTAACTATGACCCTAGCAAAGAAATTTAACTCTGAATCATAGTTTTATTTGTAAATGGGAACAGTTAGGGGTAAGCACAAAACATTACCTATTTAATATCTTCCTTTCAGCCCAAGCTCAAGTTCCACCTCCATGATGCATTCTAAGTGTTCTTCAGCTTTCTTAATCTCCCCCTTACATGCTAGCGCCTGATTTTAAGTCAATTTACAGCATCTCCACAAATTCTGACTCCCCAGCCAAGCAGCAGGCTCTGTATGCGAGGTGCTGGATCTATTTTATAGCACCCGACTCCCAAACTTTCCAATAACATAAACCCACAGCCTCCGCACCGACCCCCACCCCTACTCTGCCCCTCCACCCCCAAGCAGACTAAGCTTTGAAGCCGACATACAAACTACATGTTCTGGAGGTCCTTGGTCTTGGCCTTTGTTAAAGCCGCCGCGGCCACCCCCGCGTCCATAGCCTCCTATGCCGCCGCCTCTGAAGTTACCGCCGCCGCCTCGGAAGTTACCGCCACCTCCACCTCGGAAGTGGCTGTTGCTGCCGCCTCCGCCACGACTGAAGCCGCCACCTCCGCCACCTCGATTAAAGCCGCCACGGCCTCCGCCTCGAAAGGACATGCTCGCTCCCACCTGGTGAGAAAACCGGCGCGTGCCTTTTGGTCACGGTGGCCTCTGGGCGAACCACCTAACCCTCCTGAGCCGCGGTCGGAACACCATGCAAGGGGAAGCTAACAAGAACAGCAACTCTGTCACCGAACCCACGGCCAAGCCGCCAGTGACAAACCCGAAGGGTGAGGAGTGTCGCCGCCCCACAACCCCGTGAGCGCCGACGACCCTCCTGGCCTCGTCGCGCTCGGTTGGTACCTCCTCCCCCTGCAGGCTGCACGGTCTTCGGGCCGCTGTCCCTTCCTTCCCCCACCTCCCCCCGCGGCCCGGCCCCGCGTCCAGCCGCCTCTGAGACCCCTGCCCCCACCGCCACTCACCGGCTCCACGTGCACCTCGGCCCGGGCGTGCACGCCCACCGGCCCGCTACTTCCGCCGCGGACGAGCCTCCTCGGCCACCGTACCGGCCCAAAGCGGAGGGGAAACACGGCCAGAAACTCGTAATAATTGGTTTATAGGGAAAAAAAAACTCACCAGCAGAACCAAGGACACTGTCAATTTCCAAAACAACCCTCAGAGCGGGAAGAAGAGCAAGAATATCTAACTTCAACCACCGGTTTACGACAGGCCGAGGACGTGACGTCCAATAGAGGCGTCCGTCGCATCGTGACGTTGCCGGAAGTGTCGCCGCGGTGTTGCTCTTGGAGACGCCTCGGGTTAGAGACCTCGCCACTCTCCAGCGGCCTGATGGGACACCAGCGGGTGCCGGCTGGCCTGGCTCGGTCTCTCTCTTTCAGGTCTTGAGATGATCGCCTGCTCATCAGTTCGTTACCAGCTCAGCGCGCATCTCTGAGGCGCTTTCAGTGCGCTGTGCCCAGGGGTGGCTCTGGTCGCGTCGGAACGCTTGTCTGCGTTCTTTCGAGTTTTCTCCTTCCATATCCTCCCCCCCTTTTTAATGTTTTTTTTTCATCACTGTATATCCCCCCCATGCCCTCTTCCACCCCCACCCACCCTCTTTCCCCTCGCTGTCACCCCACTGTTGTCCATGCCCGCACGATTATGAGCAGATCTAGGGCCGTACTTTTGTTCTGTGGTTTCACTAGAAGATGCTCGTGTACTTGTAAAGAAACTATGATCCGATACAAAACCAAGCCATATTTTAATCTTCCGTTCCGGATAGTTCATTCTTTTGTCAAGTACGTTTTGAACTCCGCCAGGCTGTACTCTGTACTGCAAACCCCTCTCCCCGTCTGTCTTTAAGCCCTTGGTGTCTGACTTCAGCTTCCGCTAAAACTTCTCACCCGAAGAAAGCTAGTGACCGCCTGTTTATTAAATTTGGTTTGTCTCTTTCCAACCGAATCTTCTGAGACCTAACCTTGATATTTGACACAGTCGACCTCCTCTAAGAGGGTTGGGGTCAGTACCTATAACATAGGGTTATTTTGATTTGAAAGAACTTTGTGAACTTCACTAGGGAAATATTAGGAATCAAAATATGCCTTCTACACTGAAGTATAAGCTGCTTGAGAAAGCACCTAACAGCCCTACATGGAAAAGGAATTTGATAAATCTATTTTAAATACTATACATCATACAGAGGTAGACTTATTCATAACTCACTATTTTGCCTTATGTCATTTAATATTTATTTACATTTTGTATTTCTCCACTTGGTATTGCACTTATCTCCAACTTAGTGTGATAAAACCATTGAACTTATGGGACCTTCAAGATTATGTGGTTTCCCTTTATTTTACATGTAGGAACTGACACTCAGAGAGGTGAAGTAACTTCTCCCAGCTCATTAGAGGGGCAGCATAGAACTTTGGATTCTCACAGTCCTCAGTCCTTTTCTGGCCCCCTCTTCTTCCACTTCCCAAATTGTTCATCATTCCAGTTCTCTGTTTGTAGCATCACACTTTAGATTTCTGAATCTTTGGTCTCAGATCTTTGAGCACTCTTCTCTATCATCATCAACATCCACACCCCAGCTTTGGCCGCAGTCTCTTTTATCCAAAACTATCCATTTCTATTAATTCCTTCTAAGGTGGATTTTTGTAGTTATTACAGGCCTCCTGTTGTCACTACCACACTTGTTATTCCTGCCCTAAATCACCCAATATGATCTACAAGAAGTCAAAAGTACAGAAATAATAGAAGTGAACTGCAATCTCTCACATTCTGAGCATCTTTGTTGCCTCAGAATAAATAACTTGGAGGCTTAACTTTTCATTCTCCCACCTGAACTGCATGTGATGACATACTGACCTTACTGAAACAGTTTCTTCATAGCATAGCCATCCTCAGGACCCCAAATAGCTCCCCATTTCTTTTTGCAACAAATCTAAAGTAAAATGGATTAAGCCTTCTATATAATTACTGTACAATTTCCCTCTGCCCCCTTAGGCCACCATGATTGCCTTCTCTTTCTCTACCATTGTTGAACACCTCCTGCTTAGAAAAGCTTCATTTCCCATTCACTAGACCAGCCTATTCTATCTTTTTAGTTTGGAGGAGCCCTTGAAATGATTTTCATGTTTCAAATATATATATATATAGAGAGAGAGAGAGAGAGAGAGCGCGCGCGCAAGTTTTAGACATAGTGATCCCATAACAATTGTCAATTGTTATGCTTTTATTAAATTGATAAAATTCACATAATGTAAGTTTTTAAGTGTATAGTTCAGTAGTTCACATTGTCGTGCAACTCAGTGCTCTTCTGAGTAGAGAATGTTTCTCTGTAAATGTTTATTTTTGTTCTACTTACCATCCTACTCTGTAGTTTTCCCCTCCTCACAAAGGATAGCAGGTCTGGTGCAAATTAAGTGGAAGAGGAAACTTTAATTTTTCCTTTAATTTAGTAACAGTTGCAAATTGATTTTAGTGAATGTTAATCTCTTTTTATAGGCCTATATATGTATAAAAGTGTTATTCTTGAAACAAAAATTAAATTTACCTATTTAGTATGAAATCTTTGCTTGTCTTTTGCTGTGTATATTCTCAGCTCTGACTCAATCTTAAGACTAGCATACATTTTATTTACAATCAAAATGAGATGATTTCTGTCTTCATTCTCAATGCTCATTAAACAAGAAAAAGCTTACATATGTAAGAAGTTGAAAAGTACAGTAAAGTGTTTATTACTTTCCTCTGGATGGCAGAATTTCTTTCTCAGAAATCCAGAACTTGTAGAAGTGCAAATCCGTCAATTTCATCTTATGTTTAATTATCAATTCACAAAATTCTTCCTCTTCTCTTGCTGCATGGGTCGATGCTCAACCACTGAGCCACGCTGTCTGGGCTCTTCCTCTTCTCTTAAAGTCAGGTTTTCAGGCTGAAAAGATTTGGAGAAAGGAGCCCTCATTCAGCCATACACTTGTGTTGCAAGAAAGGGAAAATAATGTTCAGTTTTATTCTGTGATTTCCTCAGGTGATTTGGTCTCAACCTGACACTCGAGACTTCCTCACTCTCAAGTGCAAGCAGCAGTGGAAATGTTTCAGGATTTGTTTTTGCCATATAATTGTTCCAAAAATTCTATTTAAAACCAAGAATCTTGTCACTTGAAATAAAAATATTTTCTCCAGGCCCTTGAAGATACTTGTTCAACTAGTGATGAAAAATGCCGACTTAATAGGCAAGTTTCTATAGCTATTCTTGATCTTCAGAGTATTTGGCAAAATCTAGCCTACTGGGGGAGGGATGAGATAAACCAAAGAACTTGGATGCATGTATGCATAACCAATGGACATAGGCAACAGTGCCAGGGGGGTGGGGGGTGGAGGGGGTTCGGGAGGAGGGTGTCCAAGGGGGTGAAAGAAGAAACATCTGTAACAAAAATGAATTTATTTTTAAAAACCTAGCCTATTTTCTTGAAAGTATTCCCACAGTTCACTTTTTTAGCTGAAACATCCTGTTAAGAACCAAAATCTGTATTAGTTTCTGTTACTGTGTAACAAATTACCCCAACATTTAGTGGCTTAAAACAATAAACATCTTGCATAATCTCTGTAGGTCAGAAATTCAGGAGCAGCTTGGTTTAATGGTTCTGGTTTAAGGTCTCTCACGTGACAGCAATCAAAATGTTGACTGGGGCTGCATTCATCTGACATCTGACGGCACAACTGGAGACAGAGGATCAAGTTCTGAGTGGCTCAGAGGTGGCTCACTCATGTGCCTAGCAAGCTAGTGCTGTCTTTTGCCAAGAGGACTCAGTTCCTTGCCACATGGACCTGTTTACAGAGTGCTTGAGCACACTCATGACATGGCCGCTGGCTTCCCCAAGAATGAGTGACCTCCTAAGCCATAAGATTTTATGTACATGGCAGGAGATTTATGTGGTCTTTGTCCAGGTTTCCACATAGTTGTTGTTTGTTTGTTTGTTTTTAACTTTCTTGAGTGAACTGGCCTTTGATAGGTTTAGCCATTTTTATAGCATCACCCAGAATTTTTTTCATTTCAGCTTCAAAAATGTCTGACATCAGCACTTCTCAGGGAGGAAAACAGTATGTTGCGAATATATCAGGATTTTCTTTTCTCAGGAAACAATGCTGAAATCATTGATGGGGTACTGTCAATGCAGGTGCCAACACACTTTCAACAATGTACTTTTTGTTTCCCGTATGAAGACAAAATAGTAAATGTATCTTGGCCTTTGTTTTTGCCAGCATTTTATTATCATAGAAAACAATTTTTAATTTTACTACAATTTACATATCTTGCAAATGCTAACTATATGACATTTTTTATTGAAATCTGTTGGTCTATAATGTGGATAAATGTTTTTTGGTTTATTACACAAAATCTTCAGCATCATGTGACATGTCATCGATCACATCAATTTATCAAACTTGCAGAGTGAAACCTTTAAAATGTCTTACATTATATATTTATTACTCAGCATTTTACTCTCTATAAATTTACAAACTAGAATTGTGAGGTTCTTACCAACGGTGGGTTTTTTCCTTTTTCAGTCAAAAAGTTCTACTTGTTTTTTGGACCTATTTACTGAAGGTGACTGACTTTTTTAAAACAAATTTTTACTCTGGGATTTCAAAAGCCATTTAAAATTATTTGCTCCTTTAATGTGATGTGTGGTTAAATGTCTTTTCAATTTTGCTGGAGATATTGTTGCATTTGTAAGTTGTGATTCTTAATTATTTATCAGAATTACCTAGGCCTAGAATGCTCTTCTATCTTTCATTTTGTCTTCAAAATCACCACATTGGACTCTTAAGTCATGTTTGTAAAACAGTTGCTACAAAAGTGTAAAACAAACAAAACAAGAAAATCACAAAATAAAATGAAATCTTTAAAAAATACAATTCACGCCTGGCCCATGTGGCTCAGTGGTTGAACAATGACCCATGTGACAAGAGGTCGCCAGTTCAATTCCCAGTCAGGGCACAAGCCCAGGTTGTGGGCCTGATCCCCAGTGGGCAGCATGAAGGAGGAAGCCAATCGATGTTCTCTCTCATCGATGTTTCTATCTCTCCCTCTCCCTTCCTCTCTCAAATCAATAAAGAAAAACAAAAAAATAAAAATACAATTCACTTTTAACCTACAAGCTCCATGTTTTGCAATATTTACATGACAAGGCAAAAGGGAGACATCTGAGTCAGTATTTA